TATTTGGTATGTTTGCAAGTTAGTGGTTCTAGACAGGGCATAGACCATACAGCTATGATACGATAGCTATTTTTATACGATTATTTATTACCGTACTGAACAACTGCCAAGATTGTGGGTCAGGGGTAGTGTAACCATAATAGGTATAGCGTTATGCAAGATAGAGTTTGACAAATAACTACAGAGAGTGGTGAAACTGATTTCGAGCGGGTCTGTAGGTGTAGAACATTACTGTATCTGGGCAGCCGATCCACAACTGTATATCCAGGAAAACGGTCGCTACTGTACCAGAGCGACCTGGACCATGGGGATGACCACGAGAAGCCAGCGGGTGGGGCTGAACCCCCAGCTTCCAAACCCCCAACCCGTCGCACATCTCCCACCTCCGAAGCCGCAAACCCCACAATCTCACCCGAATACCCCAACGTTGAGGACTTTCCTCTCGCCGAGGATGATTCTCATGATGAGGACGATTCTCACGTCGAGGATGATTCTCACGATGAGGAGGATTACTTTCTCGTCTCAATCACCTACGATTACTCCACCATCACAGCCCGAGCTCGTTCGTTCAAAGGAATAGTGCTTGCTGGGGCCACTCCGCTCCAACTGGCCCAGAATGGCTTCTATTACCGACCTTCAGGAGTCAGCAATGTGGCATGCTGTTTTGCCTGCCAATCGACCAAGCACTTATCCACCTTCCAATGCACCCCGTTCGAGGAAGTGCAACAGCTGCACGAGGAAGACTGCATATGGCAGATAATCTCGTGCGATTTGAAACACCACCTCGGAACTCACAACAAACCCCCTCCTCAACCACCGCATTCTCCTCCCCTAAACGGTCAACTCCTACCGCCGATTCCAGTACACAAACTACAGACGACTCCAGTACAAAAAACACCAACCTGGACTGCCGTTCCAATCCGCTACCCGCCATAATAGACCCAGAGCCTCAACAACCTCCAAGAGCCCAATCTCCCCAGCTTCATCAAACGATACCGTCCATCACTTCCTCGCCCCAAAACCAACAAACAACCTATGCTTCCGTCCTCCAGCGACCTGTCACATCCATACCGCAACCGTCTCCTCCAGTGCAAGAACCTTTTCTTCCCGCCAACCCCATACTCACAATTGAAGATCTTCACCTCCGTTTTCACAATAAACCGTCACCGTTCCAGCTCGAGAATAAGACAAGCCAACGCTCAATCAAACGAACTCGGAACAAAACCGCATCTGTCACACAATCACTGTCCAGATTCTTAGCCTCTGCTTTGCCCGCGTTCTCGCGGTTCCTAACAGAGATGCAGCGAAAATCGGACGCTTGCTGTCTGTCTCACTCGTACATTTCCCACAGCCGCGCCATGAGGGCAGCCTAATACCGCAAACGGCAGAAAGGCCACGACAGGCCTTACCAGGTGAGGCTCAAAGTTCACCGTTCAGGAAGTTTTGGAACAATCTCATTGGAACACACAATCATGTATTTACACAATAGTGGTAGCCTGTATATCGCTTAATTGCGAGAGGTCAGGGTAAATGATATCATCCATCCATCCATCCATCCATCCATCCATCCGTCTGTAGGTGTAATAAAAGACAGATATCCGCGGACTTCGCCTGAAACCTTCACTTAATACCTACCAGAAATATATACCCAGTGCCGTATGAAAGCTTTTGTTTGCCCCATCATGTCGAGCTCAAGTAGACACAACAAGCTTTTTTGGCTGACTTGATGGAATGTATCAGTGATTCTTACCCAGAACCACGTGCCCTACAATCTCTAAGTAGTTGCCTAGCTTCAAGCTTTTTCGAAAGTATAATCACCGAGTTCTATTGTACTGTAATGATTTAAATGTATGTCTTATTGTACAGTACTGTATTGTATAAAATAAGAGATAGGTTTGTTGCGACAGATACATTTCTACAATACGATGGTGCTGCACTTCCGAAAGCGCTGCGCATTACCACGATTTTTCAAGATGTTGAAGATGCTGGCCATAGTGAATGAAACTTGAGATGCCCCCTCAAAGCTCCGTTGTACCCTCTTCTCAGCTCTCTAATCAAAGGGTATAAGAATGAAAGAGAAGGCTCCATGTGTAGTTTGAGCCTATATCGACGGTAGTTTCCTGTGGCATCAACAACCTCAGCAAGAGCCGGATGGATCTTGATCCCTGCTTCTGACATTCCCGCTAGAACAGCAGAAAGCGAAAAGAAATTTCGTAGATGGTAAAACTCCTACCTGGGTTAGTCAGAACATATGAAAAGGAACACCTTGTATACCTTCGCTAACCCCATTAAGGTACCATCATTGAACTTTCTGTTGATGTCAAACCGTTTTACCGGAAGCCACAAATGGTTCTTAACGGAGTAACAAACCTTTGCCACACCATGGTACTTCTCCAGTTCCCCTGGAGCTTGACACAGAAAGCAGAACAATGAAAAGCCAAGCCTGTGGTGATAAGATTCAAAAAGACTTACGGCTGCTGAGGGCATTCCTAACACATGCTCGACCCAATATTCAAGGCGGAGATCTTTGAATAAACTCTAGCTGTCTCGAAGAAGTCGCATTGTCACATTTCCTGCATCTCCATCTATCGAAAATGTCTTCTAAGCCGTTGCTCTGTTTCCATTGCAGTCTCCGGACTGGTACTCGGGCGGGACAGTCGGCTCTGGCTGGTGGTCTTGATTCTCACTATTCCCAACTGGTTTAACTTCAGAATTCGCCTGTTCCGCTGAGCAGGGAGGACTTATCGTTGCTAAACCATCTTTGAGATAGTTCACTCATCTAGATCTCCATGATCAATTAACTACCCCTCAGTCTTCACGGGAGTTTGGGGCTTCGGGGAGAAAAGAGCCAGCTCCGAGGTGCCGGATCAATCAAACTACTGTGCACCGAGCCAAATATACGCACCCAAACTGAGATGCTCTCGATCTGTGGAGATTGGCAATTTGCAGATAGCCTGGCAAGTGTTGGTAGATCGCCACGCGGCTTTACGAAGTATTTTTGTGTGCGGAGAGCAAGACGACCATCGGGTCGTCCTCAAGTCTGCAACGGCCAGAATTCGGATGGTTTCCTGTGACGATGCTCCTCCTTCAATTCTTCGTGCGCAGTCGCCCCCTGATTAGTGTGAAGGAGGTTTCCTTCATCAGCTGACTGTGTGCCAAACCATGTCTGGACAAGTATTCATTAAGATTGACATCAGTCATGCCATTCATTACTGATGCGGCGTCGCTAGCAATCCTCTTCCGCGAGTGGTGTGTGGCGTATGAGACCAGCTGTCAAATAGCATCACCCCACTGTACAGCACTTACATAGCAGGCCTTGCTAGGACATCGACTGTCGACACACAATACTGGAAGGAATATGTCACCGACATGCCATCGTGCTTTTTCCCGATTGCGAACAGTTCCAGCCACGAGGTTGGACAATTGCGGCGCGTGGGGCTAGTAGGGCTACTGAAAATGCAGCAACTTTTGAAATCCTGTAAGACCGGGCAGTTCTCATGCGAGCACACAGCTTCTAAGTACTGGACATCTTTAGCCAATATCGGAACTCAGCACAGCTCGACAAAAATCATTATTCGATAATCAATCATCAAGACCCTAGTATCTAGCTACTGTCCACATTCACTGGGGCCACTGTTGGTTGCCTTATGTGACACTGAGCATGACGAAAAATCATCTCACTAAATTGGCATCAAATAACGGAAAAGGAGGATGTAGCTAACTTTGTTCCAGACTGAATGCTAGCAATGGATATTTTGCCATCTAGTTGGAATGGGTTTGGTGTGTTAGGAAAAATTGAACTTGTTATATGTAAATGGGTAAATACAGAAAACTGTTTAGTTCAAACCCCGGTTGAGCAGATTTTTCATTCGTCAATTCTACACACCCTTCCCTGCCATTAATTAATTGCCTCATATAACATTTACTGCGCGGGCAATGCAATTGTAAAAAATCGAACCCCGCCTGAGTAAAACCCTTTACAGTAAGCTTCCCCACGAATCGGACTTTTTTTACCATAGTTGTCTTCAGTAACCATCAGAGAACTGCAGGGTCTACTAAGAAGTGAACCCCCCTTTTCCCCAACGCCCATGTGGAGCTCAGGAAAGAATTATTTCTATTCTCCTTTTTCGAACTTTACAAAATCACGTCCGGCTTGCGGACTAAGGATATTATTACGTTCATAAGTCTCCCCTTTTATCTACGTCTAGCAGCATGGACAGGATAGGTATACAAATGGAGGACCTAGGCTTCACAACGGAGGAGCCAAAGCAAAGAGCACGGCTATTGTTTCTGGTTGATTACTATAAACTGGATGGATCAAAAGTTATCCGACAGTAGCTGCGCTGGAAGCGTCGTACGGCACGAAAACCGCCATATGCCAAATAGAAGCAAATGAATAGAAAAAGAACCCAGCTAGTAAGCGAAAGCAAATGCCTTCCCAAGGACAGATCTTAGCTTCCTGAAACGATCAGCTCGATTGAGTAATGATCCCGAGAACCACAAAGAGGTGTCTGTCTAATCGCTGGAGGTAGCGGTAAGCCACTGGATGATTGTGCCAGGTAGTAGTGCCAAAGCTGTGCAGGTTGTCACCTAGAGCATCGCAGACATTGGACTGTAAGCTTTAAAGCCTCGTCGACGAATTGGGCTTGGTCCTTTTTGCCCAGGCGATCCATGAAAACATCGGTTACCATTGGGAACGTATCCAGGACAATGACGTCCCGAAGGTAAGCTGCATTGGCTGAAGGGACGTCAAATTGAGATGAACGTTTTAGGCAGCCCTTCATGTGATAATTTTCTACAGTGTTGAAACACACTGAAAGTGTTGCATGATGCCTAGTCAAACGAATAATCCGTAACGACGTCCAACATAGTGTTAATAGCAGTCACGGCATAAAAGCCGATCAAAATACATTTTGTTTCCGCCCAAGGCTGGCAGAAGCCATATCATGAGTGAAGGCCGTGCAAAATGTTACGTTCTCTTAGGTGGTTTTGATGCACTCTCATCCCGTGTGACATCTCTCACTGGCCAATTCATAGATGATTCGTTGACGCTGGCGTAGCAAAGGCTCACCATCGACAAAAATTTTCTCTATCCGAGATGTCTGGAGATTGTCATGTTGCGTACACAAGATACCCACATCCAATTCAACCTAGGAAAATTACCATTAGAAGCCAAAAGAATGCCAAACAAAACCAGGGTTCATACCTGATGTTTATCGACTTTCGGAGCCAATATCCAGATGACTGATTGGAGTTGGCTGCTGAGTTCCTTTTTGATTTCTCGGAGTGCCATCATTTGCAGTTCGTCGTAGTAGCGATAATGGCCTGTAGCGTTGTGGATCTGCCTCAATTTCTTGAGCGATTCGGCAAAATAAGTCAACCCCCTCTTGCTTAATGCCTTGCGGAGGATTCCATCAGACCTGGAACAAGCATGCCTGAGCGCATCCACTACTGTGGCCAGGTCCGCGGCCTGATTCCAGCACGGTGATTGGTCTTCAGCATCCACAATGTCTAAGAGAATATAACCAAGAAATTTCAGCTCACAGCTCCAAATCGACAGTTTTTGTTGAAACTGCAAATTGACCGTGCAAGATGGTCCCTCATATGGGACCTGCAGGTCCAAGTGCACAACACTTAAGAGACGGCAGATCAAGATTCCTAAAGTCAATACCGGAATAACTTTCAGGGCGCATAATATAATGAGAGCTTTGAATATTGGGGCAAATAGATCAACGAAGATCAACTGTATGCAAAATCAGTACACGAGATGCAATGCCATGTAACTACCTGCGGGAGTGACAGCAGGATGGGATCTTCTACTCACTTGTCTGTCTTCCAATAGCCTTGACTCGGCAGCCAGCCCGCTAGGCTGAATTGATGTCGCCTCAGCACTCTGAGAATGCGGTATTCCATCGGTTTGCTTTGTTTGTCTCCATTTTCTCGGGCCTGGCTGCATACCGAATCGCTCAATCCATAAGAAGCTTTCATCGTTCGGCCATATTTCGTAAGGGAAGTCTGCAGCTCCTTTTACTGTTGGATGCACCATCATTATGCGGCATAGCGCATTTTGCCCAGACCGCGTTTTGATTATTGGTTCTTCAATCACTTGAAAAAACGACAAGCCTGTTGGGTGAAATCTTCCTGGTGGTGGAGGGGACAAAAGCGTGACTGTTTGGTCCTGAGCTATGCGCCACGCGAAGACTGCTGAAGCCCCATGAATGTATTTACTCCATTTTTGGGCGGAAATCTCCTTCCTGCGGCATTGAGTGCATTCTTTCCTCATTAAAGGCCCCATTGCAGTGGTCAGGGTTTGCATCTGGTGGTCTTCGGCCCATTGTTGTGCAACATTGCGTGGCACGCCGCTCCACAGCACTTGTCCATTAGTGAGCCAGTCGTCGGACAAAAACTGTTGAATTATCGGAACTGCTTCATCGGGAGTCAAATACCGGCTGATGATTTCGACGAGGGTGTCTTGTGTCGAGTTCGGGCTGCGGAGTCGCTGGATGAGACTTTCCTGAGCGTCCATCAAGTCGGGTTCGCCGATTTTATTCAAAGTGGCATTTGAAAATGTGAGAATTCCATTCACCTTGCTGCTGTACCTTGCTGCTGTGCACAAAATATATATTCAACGTAAATGCGACTGAGTCCGTGACATCATGCAGAGCAATTCGAATCGTCATGCTCAAGTGGCAAAGATAAGAACTCGGTATTAGCTCTAATCAGAATCGTATCGGCACGGCCGGAGTCGAATACGTCGGCCCCCGTTCATAATGTCTAAACCTCCGCTTATGACGTATTCTACAATCGTCCACTTCAAGCTCGGTCATGTTGTCTAAAGCATTAAAATCGGCCAATTTATTCAAAAGGACTTTTGCGGTGCTTCAAACGCGACAAGGTGGCCAACATTGTCGAAAAAGGGATTCAGACATTGAGGAGCGATGAACTCCTGCGGCGGGAATTCTGCCTCCAAGGGCGAGTGGCCTTTCATGACCGTGCAACCCCAGCGGAGGCCATGAGGATTTCTTCTCTATAAGAGAGCTTAGAGCAGATGCACGCACCCGGGAAGGATATTCATTCTAGATAATTCTCTTGCCCTACGATAGACATTAGAAATTGGGATATTCAGCGAGAAGTAGACCAGATCAGTTCCGGCTCTAAACAACATAGATTTCCGGGATGTTCCTCCTTCCAAAGAGACTGCCACAGAGAAAGAGCAACTGTTGTCTCAGAACAGTCGATGTTTCCAGTGACAGTCATACATGTCATGTCAACAGTATGTCCAGATGGCGATGACACAAATCTATAGATTTGTGGCTGCTGGTTGCACATTATTTTGAAATCAGCACATTGGCTGAAAATATTGTGTAGCTGCTGCTGACGAATCTTGGGCGCCGTTGATGCGTATTCTCCCAGCTTGCTTTCGACATGGTTCACAAGTTGTTCTACTAGCATCGCATTTGACGGCTCCGTGATAGTACCGAGAGCCGTATTAATTCCTGATTTGCAGTGTCTCCATGTATTAACGCTGCCTAAAAACGGTTAGTGAAGCTCTTTGAAGGAAGAACACACGTACTTCGCTCAGATATCAGTTGATCCAGCTCGAGGAAAAGCTCATTTTCATATTCACTTAGCCCAGGATAATATGGAAGAAAAATACTATCATTTAGCATTTTCATTATCCAGGCTTGAAGAATCGCCCAACGCTGATGAGAGTTACCCGCAACAAGAGATTTTTTATGGGCTGCAGTGGTGCCAATCCATTGAAGGATAGCACTGTAATCAACTTGGCTCAGCTTTGCAGTGTCTTTGAAATTTCTTTTCACCCATTGATCAAGATTCAGTCGAAGTCTTCGCCATTTCCTAACGCATTCTTCCTCGTTGATCACTTGTAGATCATTTTCAAGTGTATTGATCTTACCACACAAGCTGGTTAGCTGTTGGTGTTGTTGTTCTTCTGACGCTGTTTTTTTTGCCTCTAATTGAGCACAAAGCTCGTCCTTCCGACGTATTTGCTCTTGGACACGAATGAGCTCGTGCCTGCAAGATGCCAAACGTGATCCTACTTCCCGATTAATCTGCCTATATTGTAAGCACTTTCATCACATATTGGCGCAGACTTATTCATACCTTGCGCTGCCTCTCCAATTCTTCATAACAACTGTAATCAAGTTCTTCCCTTGTCTTTTGAAATGCATCCAGTCTAGTGCCTTCGGCTTAAACCGCAGCAGCGCCGAAAATTAGCACCATGTAAGTGTGATAATGGAAATGAAACGTACCATGTGTGGAAGAATTATTTTGGCTTGACCTAGGGGTTCGGGGCGAGAATAATGAAGTCCATGGAGGCATTTTCAATGAACAATGATTCCCAGGATTTAAGCTAGTTACACAAGGAAATATTTCTGAACATTGCCTGTTAAATATTCTAACTGATAGCGCAAGTGACAATATGCCGTTTGCATCATTCAATGAATCATCGAACGAGGGTGGCGAGCGAGCGTTTCCGGTGCTTACTGAGAGTCGGACGTTCGTAAAAGCCCGTTAGGAACGACTATTGCAACCGCTCACCTGGCAGAGGCTACTGAAGCTCTCAATTTGATGATAACGCAATCAAAATGGGAAAAGGAATTAGAGTTGTCGTAGGGATTGATTTTGGAACAACGTTCAGCGGGTGAGCCACTTCAGCTTCCCGGGAGTTCATATCTTATGATTTTTTTTGACAAATGTTGACTCGTTTAGGATTTCTTGGGCGCTTGAAGGCGGCTCTGAAGACATCGAAATCGTGTCCAGCTGGCCCGGAGGAGGAAATCGCAAGTGACACGCCGAGAGATCTTGTAGGAGAAATTTGTTAATTCGAAATTAGGCACGACGTTAAAAGTTCCTTCTATTATCTCGTACGAGAAAGAAGTTTCAAAGTGGGGTTATCAAGTTGGTCCTTTGTGCGAAGTCATCCGCGGTTCCAAGCTTTTGCTAGACGAAAGCCAGGGCAAGGAATATGCACCGTCTCTGGCCTCTAAGGCCCTGCTGGCACAATACGGCAAAGATGCTGTTCAGGCCTCAGGAGAGTATCTAGGACATCTTGTTTTACATGTGAGGGATACGCTTCAACGACGCTTCGGGGACGCCGCGAACTCAATGGAGCTCAAGTTTGTGCTTACTGTTCCTGCTGTTTGGTCCGACAAAGCAAAAGATGCAACACTTCGAGCCGCTATAATGGCCGGTATCGACTCCCAGCAAATCTCTCTTGTGTCGGAGCCGGAAGCTGCCGCTCTACATTCACTGCGGACAATCCAGCCAAACTCAATCACGGTGAGGGACTTCTTATTGAATGCTATAGCATAGTTCTGATTTGTTGAAAGAAAGATGATGTTCTAGTGGTTTGCGATGCAGGTGGTGGGACTGTGGTAAGCACCGAACCCAGAAACTAAATGGGGCAACTATTAACGTCCCATCTAGGACTTAATCTCTTATAAAATACAAGACCTCGATCCATTAAGCCTGGAAGAAGTCACAGAGGGCACAGGTGAGATTTAAGATGACTGAGAATGGCATTAAATTTCTCACCTCTTTTTATATAGGGGCCGTTTGCGGATCTCTTCTACTTGATGAGAGATACGAACGCCTCCTGATGAAGAAAGTAGGTCTGGAGAATTATCAATCTCTCCCAACAAAGTCTAAAGAAGCCGCTCTTTGCTTTTGGAGGGACATGGTCAAGCCTACCTTTGGTGAAGAATCTGACTGCGATTTTCTAGACGTGGATCATTTCATTCCGCTTCCAGGAGCAGCAGATCAACCTGACAAGAATATAGATGGTGGATTTGTTCAACTTGAAGGGTCAGTTCGGCAGAGTCTACCGTACTGATCGTTCTACTTGACCTTTCTAATTCCTGCCCAGTGTTGAGATCGAAGAGATCTTTGAGCCGATAGTGTCAAGGGTCGAAGAATTGGTACGGGCGCAGCTTGAGAAGGTTGCCTATCTCCGACTCAACGCGAAGGTAAAACAAAGCCCTGTCACATCGGACTTTGTTGACAATTGCAGGCTGTCGTTCTTGTGGGGGGGTTTGGGTCCTCAAAATATCTCTTCCAGCGCCTGAAGGGCAGTACTCCTTCTATCACAGTATTGCAGCCCCCAAATGCGTAAGTCCTTGCCACCTGCAGTAGCGTTCATCAGGAACTGAACCATATCACGTCTGTACAACCAAATAGTTGGGCGGCAGTTGTCAGGTAAGAACAGAAATCTGCCAAATTGTTTCTCGCTCCTAATATCAACTAGCGGTGCGGTTCTCCGTGGACTAGAAGGAAATCGCGTGGAAACCCGAATCTCCCGTTGTTGGTACGGTGTTTCAGCCAACACACAGTTTGATGAAAGCCGCCATCCCAAACGTGACAAATATTGGTCGGAATTTGAAGAAGACTGGGTCGTGCATAACAACATGACTTGGTACATTAATAAGGTTGGTGAGCTGAAAATGGGTTTCGTTTAGGGAAGACTAACATGAGAAAGTCTGCCAAGATATCCGAACGCCAGCCCATTAAATTCGGGTTCTACCGCACAGTCAGGGTAGATCGAGCCAAGAAACTACACTTTACAGATGATTTGTTCTTCTGCAACGACGAGAGAGCGCCGGAATTCCGTTGTGATAGTAAGTACCTTGAGCCTGAACTTTGACACTGGCTATAAGATGTTGACCAAGGCAGGAGTCCTTCGACTTTGCACATTGGAAACTGACCTTAGCAAAGTCCCTCGGCAGCTCTTTCAAAGAAAGCGAAACTCCAAAGGGGTTGAATACTTTAAAATCCCTTACACTTTAACAGTGACACCTACCTCAGCTTTATTGCTTTTTGACTTGGAGTTTAACGGAGTGTCATATGGAAATGTGTCATCTCGATATTGATTTCCAAATCTCGCGAATGGTTCTATATACATCCTACTGGCTGGACATGTGTGATTTGAAGGTCTTGCAAGATACAGATTCACTAGGAATGGCTTACTTTCTCACAGGAAACATTTGATCTTGTACTTCTTCGCTGGTTTGTTAAGCAGAGTGTGTAAGAGGCAAAGGGAGTGGAGAATAAATAGGATATTAATTGGCTAAGACTCAGATTATGATTCTTTATTGAAAATACTCGATTATGCATCCTAGACCTAATATTCCTTCGCAGGTTATGTTGTGGAATTATATATGAAAGCTTTGACATGGGAGCTCTGAAATATATCGACCAATCGAGAGGCCGAGTATAAAACACATCAACAGCAAAATCAGTTCCGTTCCATGAAAAAGCTTTCCCCCAAAAGCGATTCCCATACGACTTCCCCGAAGCACAAATTCAACCGTAAAATAAAGCTCATAAAAGAATCTCTCTTGCCATGGAAAGATCGGCTATCTCTTTATGCAGCTGCTCGCGTTTCCTTTTTACTGTTGCCTCCTCCCCTGCAATCTCGTCAAGCTGTTCTCTGCTCAAACTGCTGACTAGAGAGGGCGATAATAATCCCATCGGGGTGATTGGCCCTTGGGTTAGATAATACCCCGTTGCCTGCATGCAGACACTGTCAACAAACCTCTTTCGCGCGACTTTGTAGTATGATTCCAGGATATCCTGAAGATCTTGGACAGCATGCTCGGCATTACTCATATTCTGCTGATGTTTCAGATCATCAACACGGACCACCTTCCCCTCTGGACTGTCGAATGCTTTCTTTGCTTGTATTGAATTTGCGCGCTTCTGTCGACTATGACGTGTAAGCTCATCTTGAAAAATGCTTGTATGTAGCGAGCAAATACCAGTTTTCCAGATTATCATTAAGATAGTGATTCAGCGTCATTGGTGTTATTGATCTTTCAACAAAAAGCAGAAAGCCAACTTCATCGATCGCACTCTGGTATCTCTCGAGCAGCTTGTCCATCAAGAACGCAAGCAAGTTTTCAAACACCTTTCTGTCAGTGCAGACCTGTCTCAGTCCGTTGGTGATGTAGCCATGAACAATGGTGATGGTATCACTGATGTATCCATTTGCTAGGGATATCCATTTCAATGACTGCTTCTTCATTAGGCTCAACAGAAGCACGTGATTAAACGTTCCAATCTCAAAGCCTCGCGATTGGCGGTATTCATCGCCTATCCACGAGCATATATCATGACCTAGAGGAGGGGACACATCTGACGATTCTGGCAGAATTTCCTGGATTTCAGGAATGTCCTTTACTTTTCTTGACGGCAGGAGCCGTCTGCCTGAATTTTGACGTTCAACGCCAGTGTCACTAGCGTTGAGCTGTAGAGGCAACGAACTGTTGAAGTCAAACAAATGGCCCCACCTGGATAGATCCTCTGAGAATTTCTCATTTCTTGTAACAACCCCAGTAGCTAATCGCAGGGCATCACTATTCTCAAAGGCATCATTCGAGCTGTAGTTTGCGCCCAGGGCTTGCGTTGTAAGGTTCTGGAACGAGGAAACAATATCAAGCAAGTATTGCACTTGCTGCTCCATTGTGTTCCGTTGCGGTCCAAGAGACCGAAGGCCAAATTGGCGGTCCTTGAGATTCTTGCTGACTTCAGATCTGACCTACATACTACCGTTAGCTGGATTAAGGCTCTCGTATAAGGGGGCCATGGCAACTCGCTGATGAAAAAGCCTGGCGCGCATTTGCGGTCACAATCATTCGAAGACGAATCTTTAGTGCATCAATTCCGAAACTGTCACGGTCAACAGCGGTCCAAGGCTGTCTTGTGCGATGCTCCTCTTCAGCTGCGTCTCGATGTATAACTCCTCCACGTAGTTCGCTCTGTCCAAGGTTTCGGACAATTACCCATCCAAGCCTTACTCGCATCCCTTTGCCTCTGATGAGATCAATGACCTTTGCCTCCGCGCCCTTGTCTACCAAGTCTGGCTTGGTCAAAACTCCAAGTGTCCTCTCGCCATCGGGGTCAAGCTCGTGGGCCATCTCAACAATCTCTTGAGTGGCTATATCAACGTTCGCCGGCACCACTGTCAAGATGATAGAGCGAGGATTTCTCATATATGCCTGTACCATATCGCGCACCAGTGTTTTGTCCTCCTTCGCGTAATTTCCGGGTATTACGTTGCGAAAAATTCCAGGAACATCAATCACACTAATATGGTCCTCTTGCGGCCCACAAATCTCCACTTGCAATACGTGTTTGGAGAATGTAGGCAGTCCATCATCTTTCGAACGAGAAACTCCCATAAGGGTATGAACCTACAAATGGATGTCAATATCGCCTCTCAAGAGATAGATTCCAACCACGTACTTCCGTCATCATTTCAGTAAATGATTTAGTATCAAGAGATTGTAGGTTTTTTCCTTTCCAATCCTTCAATTTCGATGCATATGCATCCTCGGCATCGGAGTCCGGAATTATTGAAGCCATAATTCTTCTCTCACTATATTCCGACCGGCGAAATATAATCTGAGTTGCAAACCTTGTACATAGGCCGCTGTCTCGAGGAAATGCCAATCGAGTAAGCCCCTCCAGAACAGAGCTTTTGCCACTTGACTGGTCTCCCACTACAACCAGTTGGGGCAGGTCGATGTAATTTCCAATATTACAGGCGAAAAGCCTGTCGATTTTTTCAAGTAATATTGGGTCGGCTAGGCCTTGATCGTCACCGGAAGGATGAACCACCATATTGAGTGTTGTCTGCTGTGAATAACTTTCCTGATTATGAGGGCGATTCAGACGGAATTCGGTTGAAAAATTAACAATTTATTACTATGATTTGACCATTCTTATATACCCATGTATACATGACCACTGTATCACGTCATAAAGACGTACAGTACGACAAGAACTGATCATGTCCGCTATGCTAGGTAATACGAATGAGTCTCGAGTAATCCACTGCATGGATATTCGATCGATGAAGTTTTAATTTGAAGTTGCAATCAGGCAAAATCTTAACCAATTCTCCTTCATTACTGGAAGTTAGATATCCGGAGATCCCTCAGCATAGTCATTGACATCATTCAATTTACCAATACAGTATGCTGCACCTCTGAATCCGTCGTCTCCCCAGTGCGTGCACAGGCCTACCTACATCTGCCTAGCAGGAGCTTCGAGTAAACCGAGTTCATGTAATCGCGGTTCCTTTGCGCCGAAGCCAGTATCTGCAGGTAATCTTCCTTCGGTCCTTTCGTGTCATTATGCGAGCGTGGCTTTTGATTAACGAACATGGCAGAGGGAGAGGGATGTAGTAGTATCCTGTGTCATCTTTGCTAGACAGCTTGAGGGTAATTGGTGGTTAAAACTTAGTTCATGATAAGTGGGCAGCACCTGATTATGATAAATTCCTCGACCTCCCTCCATTCAGAACTATTACAAGCCCTGCGCTTAAAAATTGATCGACAGCGGCATTCCACATTAGTCATGGTTGTATATTCAACTGATCAACGAAGTGACCCTCCCTACTTGGGTCCGTTGCATGGACATCTCTGGAACGACTGATTGATTTATTTCTGTCAGTCGTTTTTCTGCTCTTTAAACACGCTAGCACTCATAGGAATTCAATATTGTTGTGAATGAATAATGATTCTGAGTCATGACGCAAATTGCTTTTAAGGAACGGACCAGACTCCTCTCCAGCGCATAAGAAGTAGTGGCGCAGTGCAGACCTCGGGCCGGACCCCAGAGATGCCGCACTGGCAGCCAAAGCATTTGGGCTGAACCGGCCGCGCCTGGATCGTCTCAAACAGAGCTCGGACCCGCGTAATGTGCTGGCTTACGCCTGTCCACTCCGGAAAGTACCAATGGGACAGAAGCTCATCATACTTGTCACAGGTGATATTTGTACCAGTAAGGACTATTGCGCCGACATTTGGGTTTCTGTATTCACCTCGTGCACTCACAAAAGCCTCATGGCTCGTGCAGTGAGCATTAGCGATGTGACCAAGCGAGAATACGCTGTGGCTACGGGGTCGGACGTGACCCGCTTGTGTCAGGACCGTGCTTACAAAGAGCAGCACCGGTCAGCATTAACAACGTTTTTCTGGGAACAGATCCAGCATCGACCTTGCCTACCAGAGGAGCATTTTCTGAATTAGATAGTGCCACGGATGTGGATGTGCTGCTAATCACGGGATGAGAGATGAGGCGCCGGTCGCAACCTTCTCGCATTTGGTGCCAGACAGCAGACTGATTGAGGTTCGCGTCCGGGCCAGCTATTTTGAATGTCATTCTTGATTTTATTTTCTGGGTATTATTCAATTCATTGGTAATCCTGGGTTGTTCCACAACCGGTGGCAGGTAAATGGCGGCGTGTTATAGCATGAGGTGCTCCCATTCATAGCGTAGTAGGTCTGCCAAAAGCTGCTACAGGACGAACTTTCGTAAGACAGTTGATCTTTGTTGGAATACCAGGAGGTGAAGTTATCCGTGACGGATATATCCAATTGCTCCTGGTGTGTCAATGTGCGATTGAGTTGGAAACTGCGAGAAACGTAGCCGTTGGAGATATTTCGTGCCAGAACCGAGTCGGTGAACTGCGTGACACCAAAATCCCCCTTGCAGTTAAGCTGTGTCCAGGCGATAAGTTGGAGTGGAGCAGAGAGCGTCCCAAGTTCGCCAGTGAAGTCGCGGGAAAAGAATCTTGAATCAACTACGACAGGCTGAACTTTAAGAACACGTCTTGGTGCAGCCGCTACGACGGTAGCCAGAGTCAGAGTGAGCATCGTTGCTAGTATACTGGGTTGCATGATTGCATAACAATGAGTATTGTGTATAGTACAACTGAATTAGGGAAGTGCTGCTTTATATTTGGGTTGTAATGAAAGAGTTATACTGTACTCGACGGGTGCGGACGCCTGAACCGAGTAACCAACTCAAACATTTATGAGATTTTCCGATAGAAAATGTTGGGGCTTGGTAATTAAATATGTTTAACTATTTACCAAATTGCATGGGAGAGTGGAGTGGAGATTCGACGGGCAGACGATCTGGTCAATTAGTTTTAGGCCAACATTTATTTTCCACATACCCATTTCACGGGGCCGGCCTGACAGTTTGGCATAAATGGTCATATTTGGGATCCTTACTGTAGAGCGTCTGTAGAACAGAGTACATGAATACTGTTTACTTTAAACTGGATTGTTCATTTCGTCCAATCTACCACTCCATTCTCCCCGCCATTATCTGATAGCCTGTTTGCTCCTATTCCATCTTCGAAGCCAATGCCCTCAGCTATTCGCTTCGATCCCCTATGGTGATACGTTCAAGTTGCCATCAAAATTGGCACTTCAACAATCTGGTGATCAAATGCGATTTACCCGTGCAAGTCTGTTGAATATTTCAACGATTACGAGCCCTCAGCATTTTCAATTCACACACTATACTTTTCGACTTCCCAGCCACGTTTTTCCCAGGGCGTAGCTAGCCATGATTCTGTCCTTTTGTTCCTCTCGTCCTCCATCACTATTGTACAGTTTCCACATTTCACTAGCCTGACATGGCAACCGCACTTGCTTATTATTAAACATGTACTGCGGAAAACACATTACTTTGTACATGGTGTTGACAACGCAAAAAGGCTCAAGCATTCATGGACTCGTTCTTCCCATCGATGGTGCCTGCTCAAGACGAATTATTCGCACACGTCCCAGCCAATGGCAGCCAATCTCAGAGCTTGAAGTCCAGTCCCTCAATGTTACCAAGGCACATCAGCGCCAGGCAAGAACGGTCTCCCCACGTCGGTCCGGAAGTTGTAACCACTGTTCCTCTTTCTCAACTAGTTGTGTAAATAAATGTAAGTAATTTATTAGTCGACAGCTTAACTCATTTTCTAAATGATACATTCGTCTCGTCAGTATTGACTGACGTGAACCGACTTTAGTACTGTTGGCTCATGTCAGGAGCGCGATGGAAGATGTTCTGGTAGACCTCAGAAAGGATGCGGGCATCGGCGCGAAGGGTAGGAGAGATGTTTTCACATTGCACGAGGAAGCCGATCGTGCGTCTGAGAAGGCGCTCGAGGAGTTCTCCGTCGACGAGCTCGCGTAGGCTGGACATGTAGGTGGCGGATAGAACGAGCATGTTGCCAAACTGCCTGTAGAAGGAAAGAGTAGTTAGTATCGTCTTTCAATTCTGCGATTCCTCTCATTTGGTCCAGTATCCTTACGCATGGGCTGTGCCGAAGATGTTGGTAACCACCAACCGATGTCCGCCTACGCCATCAAAAGCCTTCAAACTCAGAATGGCAGAGTCAATGCAGATTTTGCAGGCTATGCGAAGCTTCTTTGGAAGCTCGCGTAATTGGACCTTGGGGGAAGTCCAGTCATGTGCGACTGGCGCAGCTATCGTGGAACCCCTGTCGCTAGAGATGGGCGTCATGTCACTAGCGCGGTTGTTTCTTTGGTGCATCATTGAGGGGAACACCTTTTGCGACGAGTTAGACGACTCCATTGAGGCATGATCGCCTAGGCCCACGCTGGCACCGGTATGGCCATAGTGCAGGGCGTAGTGGAGAAGAGGCCGATGGATGATATACTGGGCACCATAATACTTGGCGCGCATGCGAGCAGCGTTGATTTCATTGGCTGGCTCATCGGAGTCTTCCCACTTCATTATGTCAGGCAAGCTCGTGCGCCAGAGGCCAAGGTTCATGCTCAGAGCCTCTTGGACAGTTGATGACCATCGTGTTTGCCCTTGATTTTCTACCTTGTAAATAAATTTATGAACACGATTAAGGATTTTGCGCAGGTGGATTTGAGCCGAGTAGAACAGCATCATCGCGGATGTGGGTGCGCTGGGATCGTCCGGGAGACGATTGATCGTGAATTTTCCTTTCGGAAGAATTATCCAACTCTCATAACGCGAGATGCCACTCGCTGGAAGGTCAAGCTCTGCGAGCAGGTCACTCTCCAACTGCAAACAAGTCCAGTAAGCGAAATTATAGAGGTCTTGCACAGGTCCCTCCTCGAGTCTCTCATACCGCTTTGACCTCACAAGCACCTGACAAGCCCTTGAGGCCTGGAAGATCCAACTGTGGCTCTGGAAAGGATGGGCCAACTGGCCAGCGTAAAGTCCGGCCAGCAGCCCTGTCTGAACATGTTCCAACTCGTTACCACCTTGAAGATGGCCTAATATTGCGGCAGCGTATCCATAAAGAGCCAGGCCAGGAATGATCTGATGATTTCTTGTATGCGTGATTGACACACATTGCCTTGATAGGTTCCCTCGGCTTTGATCTAATATAGATGGGAAAGGCTGGCTAGTAGCTTGCGTTGGCAGCACATACGAAGAATGCGAGCGCGGCATCTGAATAGCTGAATCGGGGTTTGAGGGCGAGAGAATATCATTGGCGGCATACACCCCGTTCCGGGAAAGGGGCGGCAGGGGACCAGGGATGGGCTGGCTGCGATAATCAATCCTCTGGTTCATAACAGGCCCGGGAAGAGGAGCAGGAACTTCGCAAATCGCACCAAGGGCCAGACACAGCATGACCATGGCGTTGTCTATATTCTTTCCGACGCGTGGCCGCAGCGGGTCAGACACAGTCTCCACGGACTCGCCCACATTCTCTTTGAAACGTTTCCGTTTCGCTGGCGGCGGGCAGTCACGGGCTGATTGCATGTGATTGGTGGCAGGAGAGGAATTGGGGCGGCAATAGCATTGAATGAACATATCGACGTTCAGGTTGAGTTCACCCTGCTCAAGAAACGGGTGGAGATTGAACATGTTGGCGAGATAGCTTTCATAGTAACGATGAGCAGTTGCGGCATCCAGCCTCAGGTTACCAAACTTGTCTACATCAATGTCGGAATCCGGCCCTGCACCATCCTCATCGGGTCGGACACCGTCGAAGCCGCCATACCTTGGTAGTCGGCTGCCATCAGCAGTGTACGCGATCTCGCCCTGGTCATAAATACTGATAAGACCACGCTCTTCTTCCAATCGCATCACATAATCCTCGTCATATTCCTTGGGGAAAAGTAGTTTCTTAATCACAGGCCACGACAATAGCTTGTGAGCTGCTGTAGCATGATCCACGGGAATAGAAAGCTCCCCCTCGGGCTCGTTCGTCGAGTCCTCGTACATCGCCTCTACGTGTCGCAGCTGTTGACCATGTTTAGAAGTGTCCACATCCTGACTCCCGGGGTCCAGGATACGAGTTACTGCGGCCTGGGTCTGTGACACGTCTGTTTTTAAAGGCCCGTCATGATCGACGGCCGGTTTTGGGACGAAAAGATGTTCCTCACCGGCTTGAATGGGCCGCGCTGGTTTCTTGCTGTTTAATAGGTCTTGCAGCATTAACTTATGACTCTGTTGGGTCGCATGCAATTCCGATATAGGAACCTCCAGACGGTCCTCCACATGCAAGAGCCGATCCAGTATCAGCTGGGTAGACCGATTTTGCTTTTGAGGCGACAACTCTTCATAAACACACGCAAGACCGTTCTTTTTGCAGCGGCTGCAACTCGGCCGTCGCTCATCACACTTTGCTTTCCTAGCTCGGCATTTACCGCATGCCTATAGCTCCAACGTCAGCCAATAATCCTCCGAAGTAAATTGGTCTCATACTGCTATGAACTAACCTTCTGGGCTTTAACAGTCTTGGGCTGACACGATCCATACATCTGGTTTTGGTAAAATGCCGAATCATACCCGCCTAGCGGCGTCACAGCAGCCATTTGAGAAACGGGTGTCATGGACTGTAAAGCTGGAGACATAAGGCTCCACGAAGACGTATACCCAGCGCTATTGATCTGATCCGGAAGCGGGTGGATCATGTGAGTACGATCATCTGGGGATCTCTCGCGCGGCGCGCCTGTCATCGGATGGCCGAATTTAGGGTGAGGCAAATTTGGATACTGCGGGAAATGCACGGGCGCGTGGGCGAGAAGGCAATTGGGGCGACCGTACGGGTCTTCCGGCGTCAATCCCGGTAGCTCATGGTTGCGTATAACGGGGTATGTTTGAGTCGGTAACGGTGCCTGGGAGTTTGCGGAGAAGCGCTGGGGGTCGGGCGGATGACTGTCAAAGGACGGAGAGTGTGGAGGGTGCCATGAGGGTTCATCGAATGCGTGCGGGATCGGGAGCGCATCCGGCCCTTCGAGGTGAGGTACGTGGTTCATAGTAAATAGAAGGCCCAAATAAATTTTGATGCCGCCAGGCGCACTTGTCTTCTCGCAGTGTCAGTCCATCGGGAGCCCGCCGTTAGTGAGTTACGCCTGCAAATCAAACACCGCACCTCAAGTTCCAGTCTATCCCAGGGCCTGTACTGTACGTGACTTCGGTGAAAAGTGTTTGTCTGCTGAGTTCAACCATCTGACTTGAATGGTCGGGGAACAAATAGTATATTCCGCGGGATCCACTCGGCCGCAGCACTGCATTAATTCAGGTAGTCGATTTGTTGCATAGTCCCCCTGTTTCTAATGGACAAGATGAATGCCAAAGCTGCTATTAATAGATAAGATATCAAATGTGTGCAGTTTTCTCTTACTTCACGTTTGTACGTTCTCTATGAACAGACACGGTAACTTATGTGCTGTGAAACAAGAAAAGATCGGCAGTCCTGCGCAAAACAAAATGATCGCTCAATTCACCACCCTCTTTGTCATCGCGAGCCCTTGTGTATATGATTATGTTACCTGGCAGGCTGTGCGTTTATTGTAGCGGCAAAAGAAAGGTTAGAGACGATGAGAGTTGAACGTCCGAATTGCGTAGTCAGGCATAAAGGTTAATAAAAAATTAGGGAAAGAACACACTGGGGAACCACTATTCTGGTCAAGAGGAACAATACAATGTGGCTGGAAAGCGGAAAGGTAAGATTTGCGGACAGAAAACGCAGGGGGCTGGTAAGTGAATTTTACTGACCAGATTGTAAAAGAGGGGGGAGTGGTGATCGTGATCCGACAGGTAGTTAACCCTGGTCAATTGGTAGTGATTCTTTTTCAGTGATTCGATTGGCCTAGCCTGTCAATTTGATTTATTAGTCCATATCTGAGGTCTTCGAGCGTTTGCTGTGCTAAACAAGTGAATAAAACCACTGTTTACGTTGAATCTCGGTTGAGCAGATTATATATTTCGTCGAATCTGACTCTGAGCTTCACCCTCCCTGCCATTATCTAATTACCTATTTATTAAGTTACTACAGTGCCCTCAAACATACAAACAATGACGGTCGTCCTCTAAGGTAATACGTTCATATTGTCGTCTAACATCATTATATTATTACGTAGTGCTTCGAATTACTCATGCAAGTAAAGTTGCTTAATTGACCTCCAACCGCCAGCTCTCCGTATTTTCGTCCCTCAAATAATAATTTTGGCTTCCCAACCACATTGCTGTCCAGAGCAGTAGCTAGACATATTACTTTCCGGTTTTTCTGCTATCCCATCTGTGTTTATAGCGCCCAATTGTGCCTTATCTGGTACCGCGCTAGCGAAGAGGCTCTCATTAATGGATTAGGGGATTCCTCCAGTTTGTCAAGAAAATGCTTCCAAAATTGCTCGACGAGAGACAGGGATACAACTGCGAGTTCATGGACTGGGTAGTATAGTAATATCCGAAATTAGATTTACCGTCAGACAGCGATATGAAAGACGCTATTACAAACAAAAGGATAACACAATTCGGAAATAATTATCCATAGCGTCACAATTATCCCCCGCCATGGAGGAGGATATTCGTATTATGCAATGGGAAAACGAAGGGCAAGATGCGTTTGTCATATTTTCAAGGGAATGATGACGATTCTGGCTGCTCTTTGTATGGCTTCTTCTGATCTGCCTCTGTCAGTGAACGATGCAGATGTCATCGCATGTCGCATCCCATCCAAATAATCCCAAGTGCCACCGTGTAGATCGAGGCGAATAACGACGCCTTTCGGTCGGAAAAATGAATTGTTCCATTGTGAAAGGTGGCGTGCTAGCGTTTCACTACACACACACACACAATTTATTAACGCCCGGCGGCTAAGCCGAAAGGGCAACTATCTCTGATCTACTATACATGTCATAATATATATAGTACTGTGTCTCCTTGGAGCCCATACATAAAGCCTTGCAGTATATGTCAACTCAGTTGTCCGTATCGCAGCGGATCCTCGTGGGTTAGTAATTTTGTTAGTAGGCTGGCTTGAAGGCGGTTCTCCAAGTGTTCAACATCCTATTTTCGGCAGTTAAAGCGCGTCTACTATCTGTAACACGAGGTGGTTGGTGGGTTAGATCGGCGAAAGGGGGTGATTTATGTTCGTCGGCATGGTTAGGTGGCCTCGAGTCGGCCCGTGGCGATGGCGAATCGTATTGAGGCCCGTACCGCCTCTAAGTTCGGCGTCCACTTCTGATCATCGGAAGGCGACTTTCCTCCTAGGAAGAAGGATATATTTCCTCGGTGGGTGTGGGTACATTGTAGCAGTTCCGTCCGGTGCGCAGTCCACTTCCGACATCGAAAAAGGAAGTGCTCCACGGTCTCTTTCGCTTGTTCACATGCACACTGATCCGTCTCTGCCGCGTTGATTCGATAGAGATATCCATTGAGTCTTGCCATGCCAGTCCGGAGTTGAGCCAGCACGCTTGCTTCTTTCCACGATAGGCGATCATACAGCTGTCGAGTGTGTTTTCCTGGAAGTGCTGCATCCACTCGTTTGACGTGTTTCCCAACGTTCTCTGGCAGGCCTTTCCCAGTGGCTACATGTGACTGTGTGATGTTCAGGGTTGTTGACTTCATCCTAGGAACTCGTGCTTGGAGGAGAGCATCCTCTTGGGTCGCGGTCCTGGCCTGCTCTTTCGCCAGGCCCAACAATTTGTTCTCTTCACTGGTAGGGATCCAACGAATGTTGATCCGGTTTCCGGTTCTCCCTAGCCTTCTGATCAGCTTGTAAATTTGGTTGACGTGTCCCTGGCCCGACTGTTGACGAAGATTCCTCCGCGTGAGTGCTGCTGCTTTGTTACTCGTGAGCAGCGTGATTCGGTATCCTTTCAATGCCGGTGGCAAGTTCAACACGTATGCCATTGCTGCCAATTCCGCGGAGTATGGGTTCTGCTCTGCTCTGACTCCCAGTGTGACCGAGAAGGTCTTCAGTTTCAGTTTTCGGTAGCGAGGTGGCTGCTTTTCGATTGCCCCGCCAAATCCCACCAGTTCGTTACGCGCCGAGCTGCTGACCGCGACCTGCATGCATCCGCCCGCTTCGGTCTGGGGCTCTTGCGGTTCATCAACATCGGTCTGCACGCGTTCCTCCCATGGGGCCAACGTAAACGGGTTGATTGTTTCCAGTGTTTCCATGTCGATATGCTTAAGCGCATCCGCTACGTGGTACAACGGCGAGCGATGGTATCTTCTGAACTTCCTGATCCTATCTGTATTCCTGCGGAGAGGATTGGTTTCTGGCAGGGTATGCATGTCGGTCCACATCTTCACGGCCCGTCTCCAGAAACGGTGTTGTGCAGTGGCAATGTGGGCCTCCGCCTCCGCAACGCTAGTCGCAACTGTGAGAAACGTCCCTATAATTGCTTGCGCTCCCACCCTTTGAACTCGGTTGATCGGTCCGCTGGCCTTGTCCTTGCAAGCGTGCATCCAGACGGTAGAAGCGTAGTCTACCACTGCAGATATGACCCTCCGTGAATCGAGTGCTGTACGAACCGGGAAGCGACTCTTGTTACAATACAACATAGAGAGCTTGGCCGCCTATTGCTGCTACACTACTAGGGAGATCTCGGTAGGGCTCAATTAAAGGACGCTGGAATAGTTTCGGGCAGAATCCTCTAGAACCTGGTGATGCAACCCACTAGGGATCCTTGTCCCAAGACGGTATCTAAAAGACTATGGCACATAGTTTACTGCCGGGTCCTGGCCCGTCACATTTGACGAGTCTTGCTAACAGTTCCGTGTCTTGGATGTTTCACTCACCACCCAAATTATCGCCAGCTACTAGAAGTAGATCATCAACATGTCCGGATTGCTATGTAGCCCCTTAACTGGCAATTTGGAGCTGGACCTAGGTAGATGACTAATTCTAGCGCGGGATATTATCTCCTGCCCCGGTAATACCCATGCTGCTGTTCCGATAGATAGGTCCTTCCTTGAGGGCCTTGACAGCAAATGCTGTGCTGGCTCCTCTATTTCCGGTCTCTCGTTTAGCTCCGGGAAACAAATACATGCAGGAAGCTTCCCAGCCGCCGTCTTCTTGCTGCATTTCGGCGAGTATCCGGCGATCGAGATGATTCTCAATTCCGAGATAATTGCACGCCAATATTCGCATTCCCAGACAGTACGCATCGCCGGCAGCGCCGATCCTCTCAGCTACACGCGCCCGGAGAGGAGACTCGATCCTCTCCCTGAGTGTCGGATCACTCGACACTCGAAGAAGTCGAGTTAGGTAGTAGAGGAACCACTCTGCATTGGGATAGTAGCGGGTACCGTTAATATATGCCCTATGAAGCAAAATGCTGTAGATCCACTCTGTCGTGTCAGGGAGCTCGTGGCCACGTCCGTACTTGTGGAATAGTGTCAGAACATTGAGGGCTATGACTGCGTCGACCCGTGGTCTTGATTTGTCGAAGTATGCCTGTGTGTCAAGTTAGCTTTACTACTGTGATCTGGCTTGGAGGAAGTTGACAGCGAACCTGCACGTTGCCGTCTTCGTCGATGTAATCAAGCATTTCATCCAAGATGGAGTGGACTATTTCAGAATCGAGGGGCATCGTCAGCAGGCCGAGGGACGTCGTGTCCAAGTCGTCGGGATAGGCATCACTTGTGTACTTCGGATCTCCTGAAACTGGTTCAGTGACACCCTTGTAGATAGACAGAGTAGTAATAACAGACTGACCGCTGAAGAAGTTCCACAATCGAGGTGGGGCTTTAATATTTACCAAGCTCCTATTCAATCAGGGTCAGTAATCTGTGAGCATCAGGATAAGAACGAAGCGTACTGGTCTTTTAACGCTTCCAGGATCAGAAGAGGAGCATAATTCTCAGCGATTGGCTCGCCGTGTTGCGTAGTTGTAGGAAAGTGGCCCCTTTGTCGTCGCAAGAATCCAAGCCCTCGCTGTACAGGATCGCCAACCAAGTTGTTCAGTGTCCGATAGAGCTCTGACATGTTAAATGTCCCTCTCATCCCGACGGAGAGTGCAGCAAGCACGTTCTCGGGTCTATCATCTAGAAAGAATGTTTCATGTGGTAGTGCCCGCGTCGCTCGGAGGACATGACGATAGAACCGCAAACTGGGCTTTCGGACGCCTAAGTCTGATGAGGTAAAGACGCGGTCAAATATGGACCAGAATTCATCGTCCCAGCGGTGACGGAGGGCCGCGTAGTCTTCCTTTGATATGTTGGAGACCAGGAAGATGCGCGTCCCAGAGTGCTTGATTTCTTTGAAGATAGAAGCAGTGGCCTGATCATAGCAGATAGTTTCGCGAAAATTTCGGATTACCTGTGCCAGGTCACTTGCTTGAAAGTGATATTCCTTGGCGAGCTGATCAAAACATTCTCGATCACTCAGTTGTCCCGCTTCGTAATTCATCCAGTCTGCCGTCGACATGATTCTCCGCAAGGATATTGCCGATTCGCGAGTCGCCAGCTTGCTTTCCAGCTGTGGATGCATGAATACACCCCCGAGATCAACCAGAATGGTCGTTACTCTGGGATTCGCCGCATTGATAGAGACCATGGTGGCAGTAGCTGGTTAAAGTCGACGAAGCTAGTGAGAGTGTTAGAAGTTGCTGAAGGGGACGGTATAGTGAGCCCTACTAGTACGCACCTAGTAGCCTAATCTGCAATGAAAGAACTGGGACTGATATGGAGAGTGGGCAGTGGATTTCGTCCGTAGAATTGCCTGTGTGGTTGGAGGCGGACTTCATGACATTTAAATCCAACTCGACACTTAGCACGATGTCAAGACACTGAGAATAATTCGTCACGCGATTAAAAATATGCTTTAAGTCTTCGCCCCAGAGTCCACTTCCCTGCCTCTCCATCCCAGTAATCGCCTTTCTGCTTCCTCGTTTCCTGCAGTGCATTTCCTTGCATTTCCTATGCCATTGACCGCCATGCCTTGATAGAGAAACAGCGGTCAGGAGGGCTTCTGAAAACACTGTACTCTAATTAATTTCGTGAAAGAGTGGCAACATTGATGCAGGCTGGCTGACGTGGCCTGCACACCAGCGAAGAATATGCGTACCGTATCCATACTGGGTCCTCGACACGATCACGGCGCAATACTGTGTAACAGCGGGTTAGCTGACGCCGAACAGCCCTGATTTTGATCGCTCCAAATTGTATTAGAACCACTTCGAGTTATAATCTGCTGAACGTGTGGTAGTCGTCTGAGAGCGCAGCTGCTCTTCAACTCCTAACAAGGCAAAGCTGTTTTTCATGTCATATTCGTTCTTCCAATGGCCTTCATGAGTGTCTCCCACGGTATTTACCAATTACTCTTTCTAGTGAGTATTTCCAAGCCATCAGAACAACACCCTCCAAAAGACTAACCAGTGGATGATAGGCTCTTTTAGCCACGGCGTGGAGAATATATTCGAATCGGTTCCGTCACCCTCTTAGTCATTACCCGGGTCCTTTCTTCTGGACAATTTCAAGATTGCCTTACGCGGTGACCTACGCCCAAGGCACACTACATAGGCGGGTCCGACAGCTCCATGATGTGTACGGGGATGTCGTCCGTGTTGCTCCAGATGAATTAAGCTATCGAACCGAGCAAGCGTGGAAAGACATCCATGGCTACTCGCGGAACTTCCCCAAAGACATGCGGTTCTATCAAACGTCCAAAAATAAAGCCCCAAGTGTTGTTGTCGCTCCAGATGGCGTCCACGGTCGGCAGAAGCGAGCAATTCTCCGGGCATTCTCAGAGCCCGCGATGAAGTCTCATGAGCACCTTCTGAGGCCCTTTGTTGATTCTCTCATTCAAAAGCTCCAGCATACCAGTACAAGTACGGACGGTGGTGTCGTGGACCTGACAGAATGGTATAACTATATCATGTTCGATTTAATGGCCTATGAGCTCTTTGGCCAGTCTCTCGGCTGCCTTGAAAATGGAACGAACCACCCGTGGGTGGACATGCTATTCGGGTCGATCAAGGTATGGGCTTTTCTCAGTCAGTCCAAGTACTTTCCAGCCCTTTCCTGGATTATCAAAGCCGCAGTGCGACTTTTCTGTCGCGATCTTCTCAACCATCGGAGCAAAAAGTTAGGTTGCATCGCCTCTAAGATTCCTGAGGGAGAGGGATCGGACTCGAGCTCGCCAACATTTAGCAGTTGTCTCCGAGCTAACAAAGGCCCTCACTCGACCCTTTCCACAGAGGAGGTCTTGTCCAATCACAGCTTCATAATGATGGCAGGTAGTGAAACTACCGCAACTCTGTTGTCTGGCTGCACATTCTTTCTCCTGAAGCATCCGCTGGTGTACAGGAAGCTTACGTTCCAAATCCGGAACCGTTTCTCCTCGCCGGCAGAGATGACATTCTCGTCTCTAGCGAATGTGGCATACCTGAGGGCCGTGCTCCAAGAAGCATTGCGGATGTATCCGCCGCTACCGCTCGGCATGCCGCGCGTTGTACCGCTTGGGGGAGCTATAATTTCGGGCCAATTCGTGCCAGAGAAGGTAAAGAAGCTCTCTATAATAGGCTATCGATATGGAATATGACCGACTTCAACAGACATCCGTTGCTGTCGCTTCGTGGGCGACCTACCGGTCCTCATCCAATTTCAACGCCCCTGAAATGTTTCTTCCGGACCGCTGGCTTGATGACGGCCTTGGTGATAACGATGTTAAAGGTGCTATGCAGCCCTTTTCGGTGGGCCCACGAGCGTGTCCGGGAAAAAAGTTAGTTGCCTCTCTTTGTGGACGATGTCGAGTGGAAGGCTGATTGAGATTCAATATTGCAGTCTGGCCTTTGGGGAGGCCAGTTTAGTCCTTGCGCGGTTGATATGGGCGTTTGATTTAGAGTTGTCAGCACAATGCTCCAGCTGGGCAAATCAACGGGCCTATATTATCTGGGAAAAGGGCCCGCTTCTGATCAAACTGACGCCGCGCATTTAATATCCACGCTTCTTGTGTTTTAACTGCTTCCTTATCCAGCACGATGTCAGTTAGATCGCGGCCGGAACCACCGTCGGCAGGCACAACAATCGCAGGTGTTATCTAAACCCAGATCCTCGTCGTAGATCTTTCCATGTTCCCGCCCATCACCGGAGCAGTGACTCAATGTTTCAGTCGGGGTTGGCTTGCGGAATTGGCTGGTTGCTAAGTTGGATAGACGGAGAGGGACTACAGTCTAGTCGGGGAGTAAAAGGCCGGGGGAGTATCGCGTATTGGAGCTTATGATGGATTCTACTGCAATAGGTCGAGCTTTTGGGGTTGAGAGCTAACATAGTACTTTCCGGCTGTCGCTTATATTTACATACGATCCAAGTCCTGAAGATCAGGGTCAGTTTGCATGTATGGTTCCAGATGTAAGAGACGAATAAAAGCGGTAGTAGAGGGTAGGAACCATAAGAAACAAGGGGAACTGTGTTGGTATACCAAGGTCAGCCCTCTACAGCTATTGCCTGGCCTTCGTCACCCAATATGCAGACAAGGACAACGGCTACAAGTGAAAAGTACGATGGGCAAGATATCTGGTGATTTAGCCAGGTGGGTCAGAAGTACGCCTTGGGTCCTTCCCCCGCCTTCTCCCCCATTCTCGAAAACACAACCAGAGCATTCCATCTGAATTACGAATATCTTACAGCAGCCTTGAACTCCACTACATGCTAAAATACGATGCTACCAAGCAGGGATTGGTGGCAGAGCAAGCTGAGACAGTGTATGCTAGTGATCCCTAGACGAATGAGATCAAGAACAGTACCAAGCAGAACCAATCTTGGATGGAGAGGTTTACTGACATGAAGAAAAGAACGAATGTCAGGGAGCAAGGTTGAAATGTCCCATAGATGCCTAAAATACACAATGTTACGACAACCGCAATGCTAAAGATATTAATTTACTTTACGAAATTTAAGGAGGGTGGGTCGCTCGACATAAATCCTTTTTACCCTCGAGACGTGGGGCGGTAACATGCTGTGCAACCAAAGCCAGCACGCATCAGCCGGACGCTGACATCCCAAATGTAGTACGTATATATTTGTAACCACAGAAAGTCCAATTGCAGCGGTGTGAGCTGTAAAACGCATAAATTATAGTTTATTTTACCGAAATGACCAAAGGACGTCAATACTAATAAAACCATCTTAGTCATATCATTCATATATCGTTAACCTCCGTACATGATTTTGGGATTCTACTGGAACCCTGACTAATTACTTCCCAGTGTAACATCAAAACCCCAAGCGCTTTCCCCCAACCTCTCCTTGCTTCCTGTAGCCGATGCAGTAGGTCGGTATGCATGTTGTCTCCACGCTCTCTTGATCCCTTCCTTCATTACTTGGATCGATCTAGATTAATTTATCGATTCAACTGGTTCCTCTCCTGGATTAGACCTTCTCAGCGCATAGCCACAGCCACACGATAACGCGTCAGCTTGCTTTAGCAGCTACCCAAGGACCATTCCCTGTGCGTCCACTGAGATGACGATGTTTATCCATTAACTGGGTTGGGTCTCCTATCACTTTCACTCTAGTAGATTTCCGGAATGTGCCCATTCTGGATAAAGTAAGTGGCAGTCTCTACCAATTAAGGTCAAATGTTTCTCTCACCTTCCTGCACACCCCTCATTAATGCTGCTTCAGGCCTCATACCGAGCTTGGTGACGTTCTCAAGACCCGCCCGGAGCCTAATCTTCATCCGTAGTGCCTGAGCCTTGCAGAAGGAGTCGTTTTCCCACATACTGATTCAATCACCACAGCTCATGCGAGCTACATACCAAACAGCTCCGTACGCATCTACGGCAATGGTTAACGCTACTGGCTGCTCGCCGTACCTCGTGTAACACTTCTGGGAACTAATTATATAGCCTTAATCACCAGTGGCAAAGTGGTGAATTATTTATTAACTCCCTTGAATTACGATTAGCCTCCCTTTTGGGCATTCTGATCATCCACCCTTGTTGATACGCAATCCAACATCGTCAGCAGGCCTCCCAAATCCCAACGCCATTATCTTGTTCGCTTCAATTGTACTCATTTGAAATAGTACTCTATCCTTCGACAATTATGTTTTCAGATGAATGGTGTCTCGACAGATTCAACCCATTTGGCATAACAAGGAACAGCTTATGCATTTTCCTCTTAGTAGCCTTATTCTTATGCTGGTCTTCCAGTGCATGGTCTTCAAAGCAGCAAAGGCTGCCACCAGGACCGCCTGCGCTGCCATTCATAGGCAACTTGCACCAAATGCCTCGGAGAAACCGCTGGAGGGCTCTCCAACGCTGGCACAAGCTGTATGGTCCAATCATAAGTTTACGGCTGGGCCAACGCATCGCAATCTCCCTTGGTACCCACAAGGTTGCACGAGAGCTCCTCGAGTTGAGAGGTAACAATTACAGCTCCAGACCACGGTTTGTGGTAGCGGGGGATTATGTTTCAAAAGGGCTTCATTCAATCTTACTTCCATATGGCAATCAATGGCGGATACACCACCGGATTCAAAGGGAGCTTTTGACCAATCGTCGAACACAAGCGTATCGCTACCTTCAAGACATCGAAAGCAAGCAAATTGTGTACGACATGCTTAAATCAAGCGACTTCGTGGGGCATTTTCGTCGTTACACATCAAGTGTCATGTTTGCACTGGCCTACGGGAAACGGCTGGAATCACCAGGTCGGCACGAGATAGCTGAAGCTAGCAAGATCACTGAAAATATCTCCTTGGCTGCTGACCAAGCCAAGAATATGATCGTGGAGGTATATCCCGTATTGGATTACATTCCTCGATGCTTCGCTCCATGGAAAAGGATTGGGGCTCGCTTGCATGCCCAGACGGTGCAATTTTTTGAACAGCAAATGCTGGAAGGCCTAAGAAGCCCAGCGTGGAATTGGTCTAAGCATATCGTCGCGCTGAAAGAAAAAAAGGACCTTAGCAACAAAGAAATTGTTTACATTCTGAGTGCTCTCTATGAGGCTGGAAGCGAGACCACTGCGACCGTGCTTCAAATCTTTGTCCTAGCTTCTGTTCTCCATCCGGAATGCATTGGCCGTGCACAACTGGAGCTTGATGAATTAGTTGGGAATGACCGAATGCCTACTTTCGAAGACATGCCGCGACTTCCCTATGTGAATGCTTTCATCAAGGAGGTCCTTAGGTGGCGCCCAATCGCGCCCTTGGGAATTCCACATGCGCCGAGCAAGACTGATGAATTTATGGAATATCGTATCCCTGAAGGGTCTACTATATTTCCAAATAATTGGACGCTCGATTTGGACGATGCAGTTTTCCGGGACCCATATGCGTTCAAACCGGAAAGGTGGCTTGAAGACCCTAATCTTCCTTTGAGCACCTTTGGATTTGGTCGGAGAGCTTGCCCGGGTAAACAGATGGCTGAGAACTCATTATACATTGCAATATCACGGCTGATCTGGGGGTATAATTTTAACCACGCCTATGAAAATGGGCTTAGGGTGGAGCTGGATCCGTGGGATATGAAAGAGGGAGTAGTTTCGCCACCGGCTACCTTAAGCGCAGTTTTATCTGTGCGAAGTTCTGTCCATCAGCGGATTATCGAAGTGGAATGGGATTCGACAGAAAAAGATGTTAATGGGATCTTGGGCCAAATCGAGAGCATCATGGAGAGCATCATGGAGAGCCGAACAGCTGCCCAGAAGGATTCGTCTCCGTAGGATTTGGGCGTACATTGGTTTATTTTCTGTACTTCTTTGTTGAGGGGCTGAGCCTGCACTGTGAAAGGTTCTCATGGTATTGCAATAGGGATCTCTCCACTATTGCATTTTTGTACGGCCAGTAGTCTTATCCGTGGTGGGTATATAGTACTCTTATATTTCGGGATTCCTTGGAGTTTGTAAGTCTTCAATTCAATTTGTTGAAGTTGTCTGCTGGTTCGATGGTCTTCTTACTTTTTTCCTCCTCCCTTCATCGATTCTTACTCCTCTTTGTGTACCCTTCGACCAGTATGCATCGCCCCATATCTAAACGAATCTGCTCCTCGGCCAAACAATGAACTTCACGCTAGAGACCTAGTTGCGGATGACCTTGATTATTCGGTACTAGCTGCCACAAAGATAGGAAGAAACTCCAAGAACACAGCTTGCAACGTGTGGCCGAAGACAAATGGTAGAAAAAAGGCAGAGAAAATGCTTTGAACATCGTTCCACGTCTGATATTGAGCTTTAACGTGTCTACGAGTCTCCAAGATAGGCCCGATACGAGATCTCACCGCAACACCTTAAACTACGCACATACGGGTCCGCTCAGTCATAGTGCGAATCCTGCCTTTAACTTTGACCAACCCTGCGACGCGAGTAGTATCCTATCTGCTTCCCTACATCGTTGGGGGACAGAACTTTGGTTCTAATGGGGGCCCCTACTGTGGGAATATTCACCGCATTGAATGGACTCATCTGAGCTGCTATCTAATACTTTCTCAACCAAAGGAAAGAGAGCTCTCTACCAAAAGTGCTCGCGTCAACTTAGTCACCAGGGTCGACTATAGGGATCATGATTCGAGATACGTAACAGCCCAGGATTCCTGGTTCGAGTTTGAGCGAGGAGAGATTACTTGCTAAGCATTCACAATCCCCAGAGCTCGGAAATTATCTGATGCGTTCCAGGACGCTCTGAACAACTTGGCTGTGGACCCTGACCTCACGGAGCTTCTGCGTTACAAATGTGGACATATACGAATAAGGTGAAACTTTACGTTATGTCCAATACCTTAATGGATCTTTTCCACTGTCTTAAGGGACTGGATGCACTCTGGCAATGCTTTGATAGATTCTTTTTGCGTCGGGCGATGCTAGCATACGAAAGGAGGACTTGGAAGTTCTCTTGATTGTGTGTTAGGGGACATTAGCATGACGGGAGAACCGGGAAACCTGCTTTTCATAAATGGCCTGATCGAGAATACTTGTCCGCCCCGCGCTTCCTTTAGCTACGGGAAAATAAGTCTCCAATCCCTAATTTAAGCCCCTCCGTGACCAAACTCGGAAAACCATCAGTCGGGCGGCGGGGGATTTGGGTCACGTTGCTTTGACCTCACTATGGACTATCTGTATCACGAGAACCGCGGAGGTATTTCTAATGTTCCGACCAAAGCATTCATAGCGGCGCCGGGCATGGACTACAAGAACTAAACGTGTCATGAGACTAGCAACTTTATGACCTATCTCTCTGCCTTAGTGAAGATCTCACAGATGCTGGCTGCGCAACGCGAGGTTGACGTTGCCGATAATCATGAGGTCGATCATCCTGGGGACGCGTTTCAGGAGATGCACACAGTCTTCCTAATGTATGGTGTCAGATACCCATTCAGCTGGATTACCCAACTCCGCAAACTTAGGAAGTGGATTTGCCGTAGGTCGACTTGCCTATAGAGTAAACTGAGTGGACTTACCTGACGCCGTGTGGCTATGGCATCTTTGGAACAGGGTCAATGGCGGAAGAAACACGGTCAATTGAGAGCGGGATATATGCATCCTACGTACACAATTTTTCAATTGCAATCCTTTACGTAGCCATAGCCCGGTCCAACCCCCCCAAGCGTCTAGCATACTGCTGCATCACAGTCGGAAGAGCATCATAAACGCACGCCCAGCTTGCATATCGTGGCAAACGAATGAGCCTCCCACAGCCAGATTCAACAGCAGTAATCACCTTTTCAGCAACGTATTTGGGACTCAACACCGGGGTAAGTATTTCATATGGCGTCTTCACCCACTTGAAAAGCGGAGTCTCCATCTGTCCAACTTCCACAAGAAAGAATTTAATCCGCCCATCATACCCGTAATAGCGTGCCTCTGCATCGAGGCAATGATGTAAGGCACTCAATGCAGCCTTGCTCGCAGTATAGTCAGACAGACCTCCAGGATATACATGTGCGACAACGGAGCTGACGTTAACAATGCTAGCATTCCTTTCACTGACAATCATTCGCGGGAGGATAGTGCGAATAGTGTGTACTGGTCCCATCAAGTTGGTGTTGATGGTCTTTGAGAACGCGTGAGTTGGGAGTTCGTGGAAGGGGAGCTTGTTAATTGAAGTTGCGGCACAGTTGATGAGGATGGTAGGAGTGCCGAGCTTCCGAAGTTAGATTATCAGACTTGTGTATGTATTGTCGAAGAGTCTGAACTCACTTCAACTTCTATCCTGTTCACTACTTGCTCAACTTGCTCTTCGATTGCAACATCACACTTGTAGTACCTTATTGTCTCTCCTGAGATGCTGGGGCTGTCCCCAAGATTTATATCGAGGACAGCCACCTTGACTCCGTTCTTTCCGTATATATTGGCCATCTCTCGTCCGAGTCCGCTGCAGCCGCCAGTGATAATGATCACATTGTCGTCTGTCTGACAGGTAGTAGAGGGATGCCTTTTATCGCGAAGCCTGACCAGCAGCGCCAGGGAAATGACTATCATCGTGCTTGTTCCACAATATAACATTATCATATTTTGATATGACATTTCTGATGATCTTTTGGTCGGGAATAGGTGTCAGATGGGCTGAGGAACAAGGGAATGATTGTTTGTCTGATAAGCGTGGGTAGATCCAGGTAATAAGGCAAATGAAATTCTCTTCCATTTCTTTCTGTGGACCCTTCTTCTCGATACCAAAATTTTAGATGACGCATGGTCTACTTTCTGGGCTCGATTCATGATAAGATTACAGGTCACGAAGGTGAGCTTATCGTCCCACCTCCCCTAGGAAGGATCGCGAATATTGTGACACCGTGGTGGGATTATCGCAATGGTCTTACTCGGCCACGCAGAGACTACATACCGGCAAGTGCGGTATTCTGAATCACACCTGATTTAGCGTTGTCGCAATTCCAACTGCATATATACGTAATTCCTGCACGTCATTAAGGCCCAGGTCAGTCTCGGGTGAAATACCTTAGGAAGCCGGAATTGCATTTCTGATTGTAAAAACGCAGTCACAGCTCTAGTGACTGCACCACACTTGTATCAGTCGATTCAAGACCTTAAGGATGCAAGGATACATATTCTTTGTTCAAACCGTGCGAAGCTAACTCCTGATGGTAAACACCAATCATTTGTGCAGCTTAAACTTCTTCTCCTTACAGCGAATTCTTTATTCCCGGCAGTCACTTTCGATAATTTTTCATCTGTTACACAATAGATATCATAGTGCATCGACATCTGCGCATGCAAGATCCGTGCGTGCTACGTGTCCCAGTATGACGACTTGGCCGAGTCATGGGTTTTGGCGCATTAGGATATACCTCATAAAAGCCTATTCCTAGAAGTCTGTGAGGGCTCTCTCTGGGATGACCTCTGAGATGTGGTGCAATATGAGCCGAAAAATCAAGTTAATGCATGGACCGCACAGCTGTGTACGAGTTATATCCAGACCGATCACTGCTGTTGAAGGTTTGTTGCTGGCACGACTACTCACCAAAGACTGAGAGGATGCTCACCCGCGAGAAGAATCTGCGGGCTCCTCTGGAAGGATTGCGTGGACCAAACAAGACGATGGTATACAGTATGCAGCTATAAATCAATATGCATAGGGTGTGTTGTGGTGCAGAACAACGCCTCGTACGGTCCATGAGTGAGATCATGGCATAAAGGTGGTTTACAAAACAAAATTTACGTCTTTGGAGGCTGTTGGTATTTAGATTAATTTATTAATCCGACTGGTTCCCCTTCCAGATTAGGACCTCTTAGAGTATAGCTATATAATAACACGTTAGCTTGCTTTGGCAGCTACGTAATAACTTTTGCTTAGACGTCGACCGAGATGAATTTGTTTATGAACCGAGTCATCCTTATTTTACTTTTACTCTACTAGAATTCCGGAGTTTGCGCACTTTGGATAAATCAGTGGCAGTCTCAATATCTCTTGCACTTGTATATTGTACAGTAGAATTCGAAAACAGTTTACCCTTCAGACACTCACGCTTTGTTTCTCGGCCCGTACCCGAAACCACGCTAATCCGCATTGGGTTATGTTAAACAAAACACATGATTAGGCGTATCGCGGTATTGAATGTATTGGGGTTTCGTGTCTAATGAATCATTGTAAATTACCGTATAGACCGGTGGAATGTTCTGGGGAGTTTATCGGAAGCGCAGGAAAAGATTCATGCGCTTTGTGTATCGGGGAGATGTATACAAGGAATGATACATTGTCAGAGCAGATGCGCGACATGGATCCAGGACTAACACGTTGGATAAGGGTCGAATTGCTAGGGCTTTATTTATTTCGAGGCTTGCGGTGCTTCAGTATTCCGTGTCCTGTCCTAGAAGGCTGGCGCAATAGAATGAACCCAAACCAAAGGTTATATTCCCAACAAAATCCAACCATAGCCACGGGGTAAACATACCCTTCCCCGGACCAAGTCCAAACCAAGCATTGAATGCGAGATAGGGGATCATGGCGAGGCCAAAGGCCTGAAAGCTTCGCCGGGTCATAGTGGCTGTTCCTAGGAGCATACCACAGGTTGTCGCTTGCGCTCCGAAGCAGCGCATAAGTAGCAATGTCGTGTGATCAAATGAGATATATCGTGGGGTAAGGCATAGAGTGATGACTGATGATGGAAACAAAAGACACCTAGACAGTCTTAATTATTAATTTGAGTTTCTGCTGGGAGATGTATTGTAGCAATTCTCGTTATTCAGTCAATGTTACTTACCACGCACCCATGCCTGAATATCCTAGAGACATTATTCGCTGGACACGTCGGACTATCTCTAGCCTCTGTGATAGACTTGCAGAAGCCATTCTAGGGGATAGATAAAATATTTCTCCAAACCAGTATTCGCTTTCATCAAATTGTTCGCAAGATTTTGATTTCGAGATGATTGAGATTCCAGGGGAAAGGACTAGCGTCGGGCGGAGTAACTATTCTCCATACAGGCACGTGGTTAGGTTATTTGTGTTGAGATGCCTAATCTCCTGCAACTCAAAAGTCTTCGAATTCATATAAAATTGCCTATGGCTAGGTATGCATGTAGAGGTCAGCACGAATACAAATCCGCAACTTTTTGGGATATTCGTATTCGCATTCGTAACAGCGCCCGCTGAAAAAGATGAAAATAAAGGTACCCAAGCCATCAAGTATTGAGACGTTATGATTCATAATAATCAAATAGCACAGGCTGCGGGAACGGCATAACGTATTTCACATGCGAGCCGCCCACCCAAGCGAGCCGCCCACCCCAAAACACCATAGTAAATACAATATATTCTACATTTTTATCTCAACAACCACGTCTTAGTTATATTTCATTACTTACTAATGGCTATTGATAAGGCCGATTAGCACTATGTTTCAATTTCAAGGAAATCAAAAAGCCATATTATCATCATTTCAAAAATTACTGAAAATTACAATGCCATGAGCTATAAATATATATATCACAACCACGAAATCATACAAATTCTCCAAGCTCCCTAGAGAGGCTAGTTATCACCTCAAAAGCATTATGCTAAATTGAAAAGTACCTATGAGCCATGGTTGTTGAGATATAAAGCTGTAATTTATCGCATTTACTATGGTGTTTTGGGGTGGGCGGCTCGCTTGGGTGGGCGGCTCGCATGTGAAATACGTTAGCGACCGATTGACCTGCAAGTGATGGTTCTTCTGGCCCTTGTTAATACTGTACGATCGGTGATCAGGAAGAGTTGTCCCGGTATTGACATAGCCTGACGACTAAGGCCTAAATATGCCAACAAGCTTTGATAAGGTAAGAGAAAGCACTGGAAGAGCATCACATGTCGGCTTTATCATGAAGTATCATCCAGATATTCTATGTCAAGCGCAGACGTTCAAAGTCACGGGTGAAAAGGCGGCCAATTCTAGCCTCAAAAGCGGTCATTTTCGGTGTCAATTCCGCATGTCCTCAGATTCTAAGCAGTATTAGTTGACACGGTGAGCGGGACGCCGAAAACCGTGCCCATTGCACCTCTTCCAGATTTCACCCCTAGAACTTTCCATGGGAAAATACGGTAATTTACCATGGTTTCAGGGGATATTACAGCCCAGTACGTTAAATCCGACAATACTGCTAGACAGGGTTAATTTCTAATTTAACCCCATATGGACTAGCGTTGTTTCTGGTACGGGCCGAGAAACAAAGCGTGAGTGTCCGGGGGTAAACTGTTTTCGAATTCTACTGTAATGGTTGAGGGGCTGCGCGAGCAACCACAGACATCGTGGTATACTCGGACGCTTCAGGACGACATGGCCATTTGGGCGCCGCAGCGGCCGTGCTGAATGACTCGCTAGAAACAACCGACAGCATACAAGTTCAGGTTGGACCCATGGACCGATGGTCCGTCCACGCTGCCGAGCTGATTGGGATCCTGTATGCCATCAACGTCATCAACAAGGTCGCCCTCCGACACTGGAGAACATCCCATACGCGGGTGAGATCTGCCACTATCCTCAGTGACAGCAAGTCGGCCCTGCAAGCAGTCCAGAATCCCGGGAACAAGTCGGGACAACAGATCATCCATGCCATTCTGCAAGCAGCCAGGAACACTAAGACCCACGGCACATCGATTCGACTACAGTGGATACCCGGACATTGCGAAATGCCCGGGAACGACACTGCCGATTTACTGGCCAAAGAGGCAGCCATACCGGGAAAAACACACCCGTTCTGCTTTTTGCTATCACGCGAGAGAGCACACATTAGGCAAGGGATCCACGCCCAATGGAAGAAAGAATGGAACGAGTCGAGCACCGGCACCCATCTACGTCAGGTCGACAACACACTGCCGGCCAAGTACACCAGACGGCTCTACGGCTCTCTGCCTAGAAATCGAGCGTACTTATTAACGCAGTTGCGAACCGGACACTGCTGGTTGTCAACATACGCAAAGGCCTTCCGATTCCGAGACGACAATCTGTGCGTCTGTGGCGAACGGGAAAGCGTTCACCACGTGTTGTTAGATTGCCCACGATTGAGAGGACTGAGGAGGGAGCTGCGAACCAAGGTTGGTGACGCGTTCAACAACATATCAACACTGTTAGGGGGACCAGGAGAAGAAGGAAGAGGTAAGATTGATAGTGCTTCACGGACCAAGACAGTGGAGGCTGTCTTGGACTTCGCTGAAGCATCGCAACGGTTTCAAAGCCGCGCGCCATGAGGGCTGCATAAACACAACGACGGCACAGAGGCCACGGCAGGCCTCGGCGAGGCTCTAAGTTCGCTTAGGAAGTGGTACACGATACATGTACGGATAGAGATATATATAGTAGTGGTAGGCTGCATATCGTTTCGACGAGGGGTCAGCGTAAATGAATCCATCCATCCATCCATACTGTAATGGTTGATGGGCGTATTGTTCCCTATCTATTAGGTGCGCCCTTTCTGGCTGCGTCCGTCTGTCAGTGTTAGGAACCCGTTATGCTGGCTTGATAATACTTATTAAGAGGAATATTGTGTAACTGCTGAAGGAAAGGGCCACTGAGGTCATTACACGGACTATGTTCAGTGATAGCTGTGCTTGAAGTCCAGGAGGTTAGGAGAGGTTAGGAGAGGTTAGGAGAGGTTAGGATCAGTATGACACAGCATACGAATTACAACTCCTTGCAGTTTCCCATCTCATACAGCCCACCTGTATTGAAAGGTCGCTCACCGTAGGTTATCCTGTGCGTCTGCTACACAACATATGAGTCGTTCTTTTTTCAAGGACCCCTCGCATATTTCTTACTCTTCATTCAGGGTGTGTCAGCCGCCCCTTCCAGGGAACCATATACACGTCATGCTCTCGGAGTTATATACACGCAGCGGTTCATATATCCTAGCCGCTGTTGCCATTTCATTTCAATCGGTGTAACACCGAGACGCATGATTTCCTTGAGCGTCAGCTCGTTCAGCCAGCCTGACTTCATTATTGTCGGCCTTTCCTGTAGACAGATTACTGGCTTTCCACCCCATGCAGTTCTCACCGCTTCTTTTCTCAGGCATAATATCAACAGCTGGGGGGTCATGGCGGCGCCGGAGATGCATGGTAGAATCCGATGATGAAGGATAAGGTTAGGCCAAACTTTATCCTTGTGGTTCGCCGATTTCTGGACTAGTGCGCGGCCCACCGCTCCATACCTCATCACTGTCGCTTGTCCTCCTCAACTTGTTTCTCCCACACCTAATTATATAATATCATGTGCACTGTCCAACCTACATGCCCAAAAGCCGATGGAGGTATATCACAAAGCTTGCGCTTGGTAGGTAAGCAGGCTATTTGTCATTGTGAGACCCATCGTATTACATACTTGCGACTTAAGCAAGCATAAATAAGATTAATTAAAATGTATGAAAAGTCAAATATTTACTGACTGAAACAAGTTTTTTGCTAATACCTTAGCAGCTTCCTTCTCATTCGTGCACGTTTTACTTTCAAAATGCAACTATGGGTGATTGCTATTGTTCATTGTCCAAGGATATGAATGCTCCTGGAGCCTAGATATAAGTTGCCCATAGCTCGGTGTGCTATCTTGTCTCTGAGCTCACCTCCAAATCCATTTCTAAACTTCAAAGCCATCTGCCTGCAGTTGAAAATATGGTGATGGACCAGGCCTGGATCTGGATGGCTCTTATGGCTATCGCGGGACTCTTCTGGATAACTAGGATCTTTTATCGTTTATATTTCCATCCGCTGGCAAAAATACCTGGCCCTAAACTAGCTGCCGCTTCACATCTTCTGGAGTTCTACTATGATGTTATTCTTGGAGGCAGATTCCTATTCCAAGTGGAGAAAATGCATCAGAAATACGGTTTGTTTCTTTTCCCCTTCATTTAATTTTCCGTTCTTTTCTCGTTCCTCTCTCTCCGTATACTACAGCAATCTTTTGTCTAACTGAGTATAGGCCCTATTGTGCGTATCAATCCAAAGGAGGTCCATATCATCGATCCCACCTTCTATAACGAGATATATGCATCAGGGATGCGAAAGCGTGATAAGTATGAGGGGTTTGTGCGCTCTCTCGCTGCCGACGAGTCTACTGTCTCCGCCGTGGGCTCTGAAAAGCACCGCTTCCGACGTGGCATCCTTCAGAACTTTTTCTCCAAGCGGTCTGTTATGGAATTTTCATCAGCAATTAGTGAGAGGGTAGAGAAGCTGATGCGACGCCTGGAGGTATTCGAGAGAACCCAGACTCCAGTGGCTCTTGATGCAGTATTCTCAGCATTGACCTCCGATATGATTACTTATATCTGCTATGGGAAGGATTGGAAATTCCTAGATCATGAGGATTTCAATTGCGACATTCACCAGGCTGGTGTGGATTTTGCCAATTTCTTTCATTTCAACCGATTTTTCCCGTGGGTATTCATGACGCTGCGAGCACTGTCTCCACGAATGTTGGCACTCCTCATACCCGGTCGAGCGGCAACGTTCAAATTCCAGGATTCTCTCCTTAAGCATGCAATTGAATTGGCCACGAACGAACAATCTGATGCCCCCAGCAAAGAAACTGAAAAGCCTCGTGCGAATGTGATCTCCAACTTGATCAATCCATCTATACCATATATGGAACGAAGTCGTCGGCGTCTGGAGGATGAAGTCATCACGATTCTTGTCGCTGGAACAGAAGCACCCGTTAAGGTTCTATCAATGGCTATGTACTATCTTGGCAGTGAGCCGGCTATTGGCGAGAAATTACGGGCGGAACTGAAAACCGTCTTACCGGCACGTACCAGCACTGCCACATATGCAGAGCTTGAAAAGCTGCCATATTTAGTATGCGCTTACTTTTGTTGCATCTTAACGCGCCCCCTCTCCTAACAGAATATTTACAGCATGGCGTTGTTTATGAGTCTTTACGCATATCGGACTCGGTTATTGCACGGTTCCCTCGAATAGCGCCAACAGAAACACTCCGATACAAAGACCATATTCTCCCTCCAGGAGTAAATATACCCCCCCCCCCCCCCCCCAGCCAAATAGACGATTGGCGCAATAAAACATGACTAACACAGCCGATAGACTCCAATGAGCTGTTCTTCTTACTTTATCTCTCGCAACCACGATATTTTTCCCAACCCCGATAAATTCGACCCAGAGAGATGGATCCATGCAGCTGAGAAAGGTGAGAATCTAAAGCAACATCTAACAGCGTTCACCAAGGGAAGCAGAATATGCCTTGGAATGAAGTAAGTCCTTACATATCTCCCCGATATATCCCGTACAATTCTTCTCATATCAGATGCTTTCGGATAGTTTGACCATAGCCGAGTTGTACTTGACGATTGCCCATATGTGCCGTCGATATCATATACATCTGCACAACACTGAGCCAGAAGACGTATGTACGACAAGCGATCTTCTTGCTGGATATACACGACGGGGAGTCTTAAAAGTATATGCTAAACTCGAGGCCGTGAGGGAGTAACAGTCTTTGCATTGTTTCAGTATATTGATGTTTGACAAGGGCCCTTGAACCATTGAGGGAATGTCGATAAATTTAGAGCGGTAGAAAAACCGCTAGAGTTGATTCGCCTAGGGCATGTCGTGGTTTCTTTGTCTGTTCCTGACACTCGCTGAGTCACCAGGACTTCAACCCTTCTTTACGATTACATAAGCAGCGACGCTTCAACACTTCGCTGCCACTGTTTTCATCCCTTTCTTCAATCAATTCAGTCGTCTCGTATTAGATTGGTTCCCCTTGCTCTAGACCCATCAGATGCGTACAAGCCCATCCTGCCATAAGTATAGTTTCACAAGAAACACTGCTATGAATAGACCACCCGCAGGACTCGCGACTCTCCAAGTTCGATTCGACTCGGAACCGCCAAGAATCAGGTTCCGGTTCCAGGTTTTCGGAACCGCGATTCGACTCCCAACGTTTTTGGAGTCGAACTTTTCAGGTTCCACCAACGGTGCAAACTAACGGAAACCCGTGATGGGGGTGGGATGCTGACATAAGAGACGGCTACGCACAATTTATGCAGAATTGCCTGTATTTTTGAGTATTCTGCTTCCATGTCTAGTCAAAGATAGGATATACTAGGCAGATGGAAGAAAATTCGAGAGAATTAGTTCGAAGAGGCTTCTAGGTTCAATTTCTATTGGTTTTAGAGTATTTGATATACAAAGAGGTCTTCGTCTCGTCTTACACGCTTTGGGACTCTTCCAGATGTACGCCTATGGGTACTACTCTTTCCAAGTAGGCCATCATTATCATAAAGTGGCGTATTAGCCTCATCGTCCTTATCGTCCTCGCCATCCAGCGGGATAAGTCACCCCTGATTAGTAGGTGGTGGTGTTGCTTCCTTCGTCTTTGACCAAGGACACGCTCGCTGGGTCGCTGTGGAGGCTGAGCTTTCGCAAGTAGAGGATTCTCTCCACCGTCACTGATAATATCAAATTCGTCCTTCTCCTTTTGAGCATCTCTCTCTTCTACCGCTGCATGAATCTCTTGTGTAGAGAGATACTCTTCAGTTAGGAGCTTGGCCGTGTATCCGAATATAGTTTCTCATACGGGATAAGGTACTTTTAGAGACTCTTGCGGTATCGGACATGCCACTTAGGCTCCCATTCGGATGTTTGGAAGAATTCAAGCTGGTTCTGAGGCGCCATGATAGTACCAGATTGCATAGAGATCGTCGCCAATTGTATCAGTTGCTCTATATTATTCAGAGAGCTTCTCCCCTTCGCATATGCGAGGGCTTTCAGCATCACAGTCTTCCATTTGACCTTCTTTCGCGCAAGCTGTGCCTTCGACTTCTCCATATGGTTTAAAGAGGGCGTTGTAGATACCGAAGACGGTATGGATAGTGATATCCTTACTCTTTGACACCACATTAGTGAAGATAAAGAATGGCTGAGTAATTCAAAGAACATAGCCAACCTGACGCCTTGTTATTTCCGTGAAAGTGATGATCATTTTTCGTTCAACGTTTCGAATAGCCGGTCCTTGGCAAATGCGGCGGTTCTGTCCCATTGTCTTCACTACCCGAGGTTGAAGAGGTTCCTTCAACAGTTCCTAGATTATGAGTCCACATTTGTGTTCCTGATATACAAACCCTACAGATAACTAACTCTCAATGAATTGAGTGCTATACGAACCCGGATCTTGTTCCAATATAATATAGAGGTCTTGGCAGCCTATTGCTACTATATTACTAGGGAGATTTCTGTACGGTTCAATTAAAGGATTCTGGAATTGTCGGAGATCGCTACAGATCGGTATTTCCCATACACAACAAGGTTGCGGCCATGAAACCAATAAATGAGGGTCTAGATTCTTGAACCATCTGTGACCGCTCCCTGCATAAATATTCCTATCTGAATCTTCTGATCGAGCTATACTTCCTGTGGTTGAGAGATGACCGTCATGGGTGATGGCTAAATCATTGCGTCTTCTATATCCGGCATTTGGACTTTCTGGTTGACATCAGAAATATAGTTAAGATGTATGGATCATAGAGCTCAACCGCTTGCCCGATCATGGCCGACTTTAGGGTGAATGCTTTGACATTACAGTGGAGAGAGGTGTTGTTTTCACAGTCTGGTGAATTCACAATAGAAGGTGTCGACTCTGGATTCTGATATCGAAGGGCGAGACAGGCAGTGCTGCTTAACAGACTCAGAAAAGTATCTGACAATTGGGATTCAAGACAGATCTTTTCGGCAGGAAATATGAATTCCCAAAATCGAGATATATATATATATATATATATACATAAATAAACATGGTTCTATGCACAAAAGCGTATGTTAAGATATACGATGAATGTACTGGGGAAGCATGTATGTCAAGGCCAGCGAGGTTGTTTAAGCCTGATCTCTCTCAATGAGAGAGAGATCCTATATAAAATGGAGAGCATTTCTCCTGAACTATACTCTCAATGGTAGGTCCAATGCTGATCACGATATTCATGCCTGGTGCACCATGAATCTCAACAGCGTATACATCTAATGACTGATCTGGAATGTTATTGAGATACATGAACCTTTGAAACACATTGATTAGGACTGCCACCCGTCACCTTGTGTTCCTGTTGTTTTGGTCTTGCACAATGTGGAAAGGCGGTCACCATGTTATAAACAATAAATAGCAAAGTAAGGAAACCGATGATTACATTAGAAGAGGGTTACGGCCGGACACAAACCCCTTCGTCAGAGTATAGAATGGCCTCCTCCCAGTGCCATTCATCTATAATACCAAGAAATATTACGTTACAGTTGTTGAGATATTGGCTTTGTAAGCCTGAGGCATCAACATCTCTGAATTCATGCGCAACGACTATATAGGGCTTATTGGATGCTTTCTACCATGGAACTCTTGTAGCTCCATCGCACTCTCGCTTGTTGTATTTTTACTACTACAAATAGCGGTAGAAGTACCTCTTCTGAGAGTCAGAATTAAAACACCTCATTTCAAGGCTGTAGCCTCTTGCCAAGATACCACTGTCTAGACATATATTTCAACACATCATCATCATCATCATCATCTACTGTAGCCTTTGCCGTTCATCACTAATAGTATTTGAGTTTGTCCCTGTGCGGATGGCATGGTAAAGATCCACATCGTAATCCACCCACAAAAATTGCATTTCCTCCGTCAGAGAATCAGACCATTCCGAAAAAGCCTGAAATTCATGGACGAAAGTGTTATCCGCAAGCCAGAAATCAATTAGGCCTTCTTCAATTCCATCTAAGATCCAATAGAAGTCTTTGGTGTAGCTCTGCCACTTGACGGATTGATCCTCGCGAATGACACGAAAATATCGAGGACAGTCTTCCAAAAGTCGCAATGCAATCTCTTGCGTTGGTGCTCTGGCACCGAAGCATCGTGCGATGTCGGCTAGATATCTGCCGAAACCATAGCCGTCAATCGAGGAATCCGAGATACCTTCGGCCATTATGCTTCTGACGGTTTGAAGGCTCGGCAAGCGGTCTCCGTGACTGTGATCGTGATCGAGATACATTTCTAGGTCTAGTCCGCGACTAAGGAGTGTCTCAACTGAGACCGTATGCTTCACGGATTGTTTGGGGATCTTCCATTCGAACAAATATTCATGCTTGAGCCTGTCGTCCCCATCAGCAAGCTCTTGGGCATGATAGTAGGGTTTCTCGCCACAATGAGTGACCGGAACTGAGATAACTGCAATCCAAATGGTGCTTGGATTCTCTTCCCAATTGTAGTACTTGTCGAAAGCACGATGGAGAGCTTCTATGGGACGGTCACTGACAGAGACCAAGGCGGTTGGAATCATATTCTGCAGGTCGTTATGAAGTTTGAATTGTCGAAAGAGGTCTGATTGCGATAGACGAGGACCGACGCGACCCAGGCCGCATATTAAATCACCGGCACTGGTTTCCGAAAAGCAGCGGTAAAAGTATTGACCCGAGGGGCTCATGTTGATACGCTATATAAATCGCTGGAAGTGTCAAAGGAATATTTCTTGCTATCGGGGGTTTCCCATTTCACTGAAGCTCTTCGGCACGAGTCGAAAACTTGATGATCACAGCCAGGTGGGGATAGGGGTGTGCGAGCAGTTTAAAGTAGGTCGACGAGATTCCCCCGGATTATTGAATTCTCCTAGATCCTGCCCCGGTCTTTCTTCGTTGTTGGCGGCAGGTGAATGTGAAAGGTTTCGGAGTGCGCAGTGCCAGGGAAGGGGATTTGTGATCGCTGATTGAATACAAACAACGGGGTTAGACCGGTGCCTTCGTTTTAGCTGGCTTATCTTAGCTGATCATGCGTTCAGCTGAAAGACTATGAAGTCTACTGACGTGGCGTCGCTAAGGACTGGCGTCTACGTATTTCCAATGAAAATGCGCAAACAATGGTCTATAAGCGCTAGTCTGGTTCAGCTCTCCCCCTTACTGAAGTACCTTCTGTACAGTACGTGGACCAAGAGTCGCAAGCTTGGTTTGGGGAAAATTGTTTACAAAACAATAAAATTGGTTAAAGTTTGAGAAAGGTAAAATTTCGTCGGCAATAGCTTCTAAAACCTTGAAAATCTATGTGCAAAACGTTACAATTCATTGAAAATAGCGGCGCCAGGACAGCGCTTCATTACCGTACATAAAGTTGCGACACGATGCGAAGACCAGAAAGCCAACCATTTTCACACCGCACTTGCAAAGCACGCACGGGCACCTCAGCTTGTTCCAGTAATTGTGCAAGGGTCTCAATACTCTCAATACTGACATCTAAATCATCTCAAACCGTAAAGACATTCGTCTTGATTAGTGCAATCGATACCTTGACGCCCAATCATTTAGCGCCCCAGCCCTTACTAATTAGGACATACATGGGGGCTGAGCTCCCACGGCTTCACGCAATGTTTACCGTCACGGATTTAGCCCCAGCGGTTACTTCGGTCAATCTAGAACAAGGTCAGAATTGAGGCTAGTATTTAACTACTCGCCCCTTTCTTCGGCGGGTAGCCATTCCCTTTCTATTTACCACTACTACAGCTCTGATCAAAGACACTATGAACAAAAAAGTGGAAAATTTGATTGTCACTTTCTCGGTAGTAGCTGTTCCTACCCCGACTGATTCTCGAAATCTAATGCCAAGAAACGCTGGTCTATTTTAGGAAAACGGGAAGTCTCCTCGATTCCGAGTTTGGCTTCTTCCGTATCTTGAAGTGAGCACAAAGAGAGATTGTAGGGGAGACGCCTCTAACTACTTGATACTGTAACGACCACGTTCCGATATCCTCAACTAGTTGGCGGCTGCAGGGTTCGTAACGCAGAATTCTTCACCGATAATGATCTACAACGACGAAAAGCCCAATCATGTAGCATTCGAGAGATCTATTAGGAGACCTTAGGGTAAAGAAATGACCTCATCAATGATGAAAAGGGGATCCAGACTCTCCACCTTGAGTGAGACCGTAAACAGTAAATGTCGGTGAGAAAAACAATGTACTGCATTATGTAGTCATTAATGCAAGCGAACCCTTGGCGACAGAAGAGTATCTTTTGAAGAGGCGTAGACAACCTCGAATTTAGACCTGCAGATAAACATTATTGTTGTGTCATTCTCGCCCCACCGCGTATGTACGTACATCAATAAACTATCACAATCTAGCCAGAAAGGGCCAGTAACAGTAATACTACAGAGAAATACAGGGAATGAGGATCAAATAACAGAAAAGCGGGCTAAGGATTATTAGCAGCTACCATCTTAAAGGATACTTACTCTGTGTCTAGAAAGAAATGTAAGCATTCTGTATCAGGTATAAGGTGGGACAATATGTCTGAGATGATCCCTTACTTATGCATGTAGTATCTGATTTGCTTTTATAATGCAAATTTTATGTTGTGGCGTAACTAGGATGTCGCACAAAGATGTGGATGCTTGTTTGTGATCAAGAAGCAAAAGAGTGGATATAACATTTTCAATCACTTACTTTACTCAGCCGTACCATTCACGTGACTAGACTGGAATCCTTACTATATATGATAGTTCTTTCCATTATATGATGATACTTCTTTAATCACAGTCTCCGATATTCTTTTCTAACGCTTATCTTTTGAAACTATATTTATCTCTTTGAAACAAAAAAAAAAAAAAAAAAAAGGTTCCGCAATATGAAGTTCTTGGCTACTCTCGCTACAGTTGTCTTTGCTGCTTTTGCGGTAGCAGGGCCTACGCAAGCTAATAGTCAAGGTGAAAACCAAGTTGAAAAAAGACAAGTATGTGTTTGAACCCTTCTCGCTTATTAAATAACTTGAGAATATATAGGCTGACGGAGATGGGGTGTGGATAGGTTGTAAGTGCTTGACCCCCTCTCGCTTGTCAGATAACTTGAGAATATACAGGCTGACGGAGATGGGATGTGGATAGGATGTAAGTCCTTGCCTCTTGCTTATTAAATAAAGGCTAACGGAGATGGGATGTGGATAGGATGTAAGTGCTTGACCCCCTCTCGCTTGTGAGATAACCTGAGAATATATACGCTAACGGAGATGGGATGTGAATAGCTTGTAAGTGCTTGACCCCCTCTCGCTTGTCAGATAACTTGAGAATATACAGGCTGACGGAGATGGGATGTGGATAGGGTGTAAGTGCTTGCCTCTTGCTTATTAAATAACTTGAGAATATATACGCTAACGGAGATGGGATGTGGATAGAATGTAAGTGCTTGACCCCCTCTCGCTTGTGAGATAACCTGAGAATATATACGCTAACGGAGATGGGATGTGGATAGGTTGTAAGTGCTTGACCCCCTCTCGCTTGTCAGATAACTTGAGAACATACAGGCTGACGGAGATGGGATGTGGATAGGGTGTAAGTGCTTGCCTCTTGCTTATTAAATAAAGGCTAACGGAGATGGGATGTGGATAGGGTGTAAGTGCTTGACCCCCTCTCGCTTGTGAGATAACTTGAGATTATATAGGCTGACGGATATGGGAAGTGGATAACTGTAAGTGCTTGACCCCCTCTCGCTTGTGAGATAACCTGAGAATATACAGGCTGACGGAGATGGGATGTGGATAGGGTGTAAGTGCTTGCCTCTTGCTTATTAAATAAAGGCTAACGGAGATGGGATGTGGATAGGGTGTAAGTGCTTGGCCCACTCTCGCTTTTTAGACAACTTGCTGAGAATACTTTTATACTAATCAAACCTAGTAAACACCTCCTTATGCGAGATATTCATGGTACTGCAGTATCGGCAAAACCTGATCGATGTAAGAACTAAGAAATTGAGAATCACGCTGTGGTTGTCGTCCACTGATATATTTACTTGCTAGCATATCCGAATTACACGCCTATTCTTATTGAATGCGTCGTGAAGAAATTGGGTAATTGGATTGGATAGGTTTCTTTTCATGTCTTGGTTAAGGTTTTCCCTATTTAGTTAGGTTTCCCTACACCGTTATGCGAATGCAAAGGCTCCTTCTATACATAATGGTTGTACATTTACTGTCAACCTCCCAATGTTAAGTCATGAAAATTGTAGTTATATAATCCAACCTCGCCCTCCATGCATGAGAGACTTTCTGTTCGATTACGTTCAACAGTTTCTCCCGTAAATACCAAGTACCAGGGATTTTTGATTGAAGTCATGGGGTGCTGTGGGTTATGGTTAACGCACGTGACTCGGCGGTCCTGGGAGCTTGTTGTTCCTTGCTTGACTAGACCCACGATCCACCTAAAAGCTGAGGGCCCTCAATTAGTGTCAACTACGGGAAGCAGAAAAAAATACAAGAAGATCATGGATGGCAGGGCGCACACATGGTCTCCCTATAGCTGCTGGCTGCTGTAGGTGTGTGTCGTCGGTAAGGTCTTCCATCATGCTTCGCACATGCCGTTTCAGGATGTTGTTTTCTGACGCCTCTGGTAGACAGGACCACCTAGGCGCCGCCGCTGTAGCACTCGACAACAACCAAGAGATACTCGAGGCGCGGCAGGTCCAAATAGGACCGATGAGCCGCTGGTCTGTCCACGTAGCGGAGCTCATAGGCATCTTCTACGCGATCAGTATAGGGTTCAAGATCGCCCACCAACGCTTGATGACAGCAGACAGGCAACTGACAGCGACGATCCTGTGCGACAGCCGGTCCGCCCTGCAGGCGATTCAAAGCGCAAGAAACAGATCAGGACAACGCATCGTTCACGCAATCCTCCAGGCTGGCGCCGAGGTTCTAGCGGTGGGAATCGCACTCCGCCTTCAATGGTTGCCAGGGCATTGTGACAATCCTGGAAACGACGCTGCAGATCGATTAGCAAAGGACGCCACCAGCCCAGGCAAAACCCACCCTTTCCGCCCGCTCCTCACCAGAGTGAGGGCGTTCATCCGTCGGAACATTTACTCTCAGTGAGAACAAGAATGGAAATCATCCACCAAGGGTGGTCACTTACGAAAGATCGATAACACCCTGCCAGCAAGCTACACTAGAAGGCTATATGGGAACCTGCCAAGAAACCGCGCGTACCTCTTTGACGCAGCTGCGCACGGGCCACAACTGGTTATCCAGCTACCGCAAGAATGTTGGTTATAGTGACGAAGACCAGTGCGCATGCGGCGCACAAGAAACAGTCACCCATGTGCTGGTGGATTGCCCGAACTTGAGGGAACCTCGGAGAGAGCTAAGGAGAGAAGCTGGAGACGCGTTTAATAGCGTATCGAGCCTGCTGGGAGGCTCAAAACAAGGTGAGAAAGGTAATCCAGACACCGTCTCGCGAGCCAGGACGGTGAATGCCGTGCTGGACTTCGCCGAGGCGTCACAACGGTTTTGGAGTCGCGCGCCACGCGGGTAGTCTAACAATGGGAACGGCAATTAGGCCACGACAGGCCTTGACGAGGCTCTAAGTTCGTCTTCAGGAAGTGGAACACTCTACATGTACGTACACGGATATATACAGTAGTCGTATCCTGCATATCGTTCGCGAAGTTGGATTATAAACCATATCCCACTAGTCTGGGTACGGATTCGTATTTTAGTCTAGCTGGGAAATCAACTCGCGAGGGGTCAGGGTGAATGATTTCACACACACACACACACATCCTGTAAGTGGCCGGACCCAAAATCCCGTGTACTGTATTGTGCAACCATAGTTCTCGCAATTCGGCATTCTGCTCTTTGCCTCTCTATGAGTCTAGTTTTTTCCAACAAATTTCCAAAAAAAAACCCTTTCTAGGATACTCAATTTACTAAAGCTACAAAAATACACGGAGAAACTTCTTAGTCTGACAAGCTCTATTTGCCGGCTAGTCTCATTTTCAGTCCTGGGATATCCAAAAGAAAGCCATTTCAATCAAGTATTTGTTCTAGATCGTGTCACTTGATACACAGCAAGAAGAATCTTTCCAGCCGTGCTCCGTTTCACGCGGTGGCTGAGGAGGAATCCTCCCCCTGGTCCTGTGATTCCGTGGGGGTCACAACCGCTCGCTGGTCTTTGGGAACACCGTGTTCGGCAAGGTGATTAACAGCCTGATCTAGAGTTGGAAATGATTTGTGTTCATTGTCAGGATAGCCTTTGATCAAGGGTTCGACATCGCTCCTATCCTGATTAAGTCACAGTTTTCGAATGGTCTTATCCATATCAATTACCAGGACAAAAATATTCCGGGGGCCGGAGAACGTCCTCGGGACACTGCATAGTATCTTATCCCGGCCATGATTGGTTTTAGGAGGCTTCAAAGTGACGATTTCAAGTGTAAGAAATGTATATACAACGTATATATCGTCGAAAGAACAGACGATCGATTGTCGAGCTCACTGGCGTATTATGCAACGAAAATATCTCTGACTCACTTCCAAGGACATCAGATAAATACGCCACAAGGCATTTATATCTATATGCCAGGATAAAGATGAACATTGAAATAAAGTGGCGGTGACATGTGCAGCCACGCTGCCTTGAGAAGCGAGCAAGGAGCATGAAGGATCGCCAAGTAGGGCCGACTATTTTACAATAATCAAGATAATTTACCCTTACTGATACTGCAAGGGGTCGCTTGAACTGTAAGGTGCAGCACCCTCCTAAGCCACCAATCCCGTCTTAGGTCCGCTTTTCACAATGTCTGATCTGAAATTGATGACCTGGCGTTACATGAGCAGGGCAAGCGGGCACCGCGACTTATCGCCCGCTCCAGCGCACACCGGCCATATTTGTCCTTTCCATTGGCGTCTTCTTTATTCGAAGTTTGGCCGCTACCTCGCGTCCTTCCTAACAGCGTAGTGCACGTCCAACCTTGTCTGGAGGTTGGCGCTCAGCTCGCGTAGCAATTTGCGCGCTGCCTCAAGCCCTTCCCAAGCCACGTGCAGCGCCGGTGTCCAACCGTTTCTGTCCGTCTGGTTTCCGAAGTTGACGTCTACGCCCCTCTCGAGTAGCACTTTGACCACTGCATCACCTCCGTTCGCAGCCGCCCAGAGCAGCGGGAAAAGCGATACTTACTCCACGACCCAGTACGACATTGCTGAGTTTTAGGCCTCACGCCTTGCCTCTCCGGCATGAATCTTCTGCTGAACCTCCTGGGCTAATACGTTTAACTAAATTATCAAACATCATTGTAAGATGCGCTAGGGCTTTCAATTACCATGGTTTATTTATGCAAGTAAGCTTGTTTATTTGACCTACCTACAACTACCAGCCATCAACATCATTCCACGAATCATATCTTTCGGCTTCCCAGCCACATTGTTGACCATAGCAGTATCTAGCCACTTTTTTGGGTGTGATTTTGTTCCTCGGGCATTCTATCTATGTGTATTCTGTCTATTCAAATCGTGTTACCCAACACATGCATCCTTCTCGTACGATGTACTGTACCCCTCTCTTCGGCTTTTTAAATAATGTAAAAGGTCTCCTCACACAGGAACAAAAGTGACTGGTGAACAACCGTCGGGTGCCAAATTGACAGTGATTATTTCACTTATCTAGTAATGTAGTGACCTCACAATTATTTCTTTGTCTTGGTTGAACCTGATTACCCCAGTGACTGGGTGACTGGGAAGGCAAATTGGCGCTCGGTGAACAACAGAAACAGAACAGCGAGCTAAAAGAGCCGGTTCAAGGGGTGGTCACGGATCTTGGATTGTTGGATTTTTTTATTCGTCTTCGCGTGACTGGCCTCCAAACAGTACTTCTTCCTTTCCTATCCGCCTTCCCAGGGCACCGACGGAGGAGGCATGCATCAACATTACAAATAAAGCTTTTGCGGGGTGTAACTCCTTTGTTATCCGGACTTCATCCTTGTCGCATGGATTCGGAATTCTGAAGCTTTTTACCAGAACCTTTCCTATGTCATGATCACGTTCTGATGATAGATAGGGTGTACCGCTCGACTGGGGAAAGCTTGGCTCGGATGAAAGGAATCCAAATGGGGAGCCCACTAACACATTTGGTTGAATGGGACTGGTTGTAATATGCATCGGAAGTAAAGGTTGAGGAGAATTTTGAGCAGGTGTTGATACTAGCTTCTTCGGCATAGGTTGCTCCACGGCTTGAGAAGGCCTAGGAGGGCTTGACGGCAGATCATCAACTACTGTAGGAGGGGCTGATGGGGTCGAAGGCAACCCGTCAATATTTTGATCTTCCGAAGGGTCGACGGGAGCAGGGGAACGCCGTGACAGGGTTGGATTATCACTGCTGTCATGCCGTCTCTTCGGCTGAGAGAGATAAAATGGGCTCAGTTCATCGACTGGCGATTCATCCATTTCCTCCGCACTAGAGCTCCGGAAGTCTGATGAAAGACCTAGGTGTAGTGGGGGCCCTGTTGAAGACCTTAGCCCACGTTGATCATGAAGTCGTGGTGCCGGTTCTTCTTCGCGCAGGAATTGCGCCAGCACCAATTCTTTGTTTGTGAGAACGAACCCAAACCGTGTACGAAGCATCTTTGCGTAGTGTTGTACCTGAGCCAGGTAACTCCGATGGCACGAATGCGTACCTGCAATAGTGTCCTTGATCTTTTCATCCACCCCACTAGAAGCTAATCGCCGGCTTACCAGTTTTGTATCCCCGACTGCAATGACCTTCCCACTAAATGCAAGTTCCTCTAGGTTCGGGAAGCTATCATCATGCGGTTTGTATTCGCCTTCTAAGGCAATCCAGTCGGGCAGTATAACGGTTCTTTTACCACCTTTCACATCAGGGTCATGACTATCAAAAGCGCCCGGGCACGTTATGATGGTGATGCAGCGATCCCCTGATGGGATTACATGCTGAAGAGCGATATTCACACGAGTAATTAAGGTACTGGAGTACAGATTCTCCAGCATTCTTTCAGAATATATAACGCGGGAAACGTCCGACATCCATGCCTGCCATCGGGGGATGAACTCCGTTTCTAAGGAATGACGAAGGACGGGCGCAGAGCGGATATCGTAGGAATTGAACGAGTGCCATGGTTGAGTCTGTCCAAGGACTTCGTAGCGCCTGTCAACGGACGTAGATCGAGCCGAGTCTGCAAGCGTGTGACGGAGTTCCTCTGCATCCACAACCCAAGGCTCAAGGAAATCAGCGACTGTCAAAGACATCAGACTACTTTGATCGAGAGAGGGGCGATAGGTCTGTTCCAAGACGGGTCTGAAGCGCAACAATAAGAGAGCATTAGCAGACAAAACCGAGAGTTCTAGTAGGACAGGGAAAGGAAAAGATGTGGAAACCTGTGCAATATTTTAAAGGGAAGGGGCCACACGTCCTAGTTTTGGTACAACACCTTCTAGTAAGACCAAAGCGTGAAGATGAGCGAGAAGCTATGGCTGTGAAGGCTGATGTCGCAACATGTGCGGAGGAGGTATGCCCTAGTGAGTGTTGCCTCAGTCTGTTGATGACGTAATCATCAACAGAATCCCGCGAAAGACGATCCGTCCACTGCAACACTCGAGCCCTTTTCTTTTTCCGCTCCAAACCATTTTACAGCATTATTACAATGGAATCGGCCCAGAACAGATCACCGCATCGGCTCACCTGGCCGGATCAGACCCTGCCACGGAAACTTTCGCCCATGGGACTCAATGAGCAACCAGGACGAGGTCGCGGTCACCGAAATACAGCCAAACGCGCCCGTCACGGGGGAACTAGGGATGTGTTTACTATTTCAAATCCTGCAACCCTTGCTAAGTCATACTGGAAAGTTGTTCATCGCCAAGTTTGTCTCCTTTCGACTCTTGAAGATTTCCGCCCCAATAATTAACCACAGTGGTCTATCTTTAGTTTGGCGACGATGACTCCCTTCGTGAATATCATATATTAAGGACTCTCCGCCAAATACCTTCTAAATTAATTGACCACCCTCGCGTCTCCGAACCCGATTCCAGCGGTAAAGTCTTTTGGATTAAATCGCCGCGCCTCCGCTGGGTACCGCTGTTACTCCGTGTCAAAGACTGGGCCTTGGATCATGATTCATTGCTTGAAATGCAAGGGGCTCTACAAGATTATATCAGGCTGTTATATAGCAAAGGGGTTGCATATCAAGTCAAACCGGAGTATATGTGTCCCGTCAGAATGGAGTCGGGCCGCTGGAAATTGTATTTGGGTGGCTGGATGGAAGCTGAATTCGATCCGAACAAAACCCGGGTACAGTCAGCTGAGTGGAAAACGCGAGAAGCGACGCAGGGCGACGAAATAAAGCGGATTTTTGCAGAAGCGCGAGCTGCGGTCACCGGACGATGCCATTGATGTCGAAGATCAAATTTCATAATGACAATGGGAATGGTTGATCCGAGAGCGATGTCGCTGCTTCAGCCAAATTGACCGACCAAGGCCCGTGTTACGCTTCACGTTATATTTTGTATAATAGCAAACTCGGACTTCTAGACAGCCTTCCACAGTATCATAGTATGGGGCCGACACAGATATGTCTTACAATAAAAAAGCTTCACTGGCTAATTCCTGTGGCAATTCCCATACTATGGCCATCGCGTAACATGACTGAAGCAGGCAGTTCGAAGTCACTGTACGAAAGAACAATGTTGGTTGTCGACATACCCCAAACAACTCCGCTTCCAAGAGGATCAACGACGTTCCACGGTTGCCGCAGACGCACAAATCGTCGTCTAGGAAGCGAAAGCCTTCGCATACGTAGATAACCAGCAATTATCCCATTCACAACTGAGTAGGTAAGATCGATTCCTGGGCAAAGGCCACAACCCTCTGCTTATGTCTGTCGCAGGCAGTGCGTTGGCAATCTTATACGCAAGGACCCAATTCGAGCACTCAAGTGGCCATGCCCCCGTAGAGGTATTTTCAACGAAATCTGCGAGTTTCACAGCATTCTTAAAGCTTAAGCTTAGGAATACACGGGAGAGCACTATTTCAGTTTGACAATGTGTAGACAGTGTCTGAAACCGCTGATCGCGATAGAAATTAGTGACCTGTATTGGCGCCTCGCCCATCGGAGACTTCAGTCTTCAACGCAGTCCTCACAACTGCAGCAAGGGGTGCCATCCAATTTTAGGAGCTCTGAACCTATGGGATGGGTTTGATGGCGATGGAGGCTATAAAAAGCCATTGAATACATCACCGTCAAGTCAGTCAAGGGGGCATATGGGTAGTCGTAGCCTGACCCCATGTCGCTCTCAACTTACAGTTACGGGACATTGGATAGACGGGGGAGGAGACTATCTCACAAGTATAACCCTCCATAGAGTCCTCCTAAGCCCACTCCGGTGATAGAAGATCAGACGGGTAGCGCAGATGAACGACTCGCGCTTACGCCGAACATGCATCCTTCTGAACTTCCTTTCAAAAAATTTCTCAGCCCTGTTCCGTCTACGCCGGCTCAGTTTGCGCTAACCTCGGATGACTCGCCTGACTCATTGTGGATACCTACCAAGGACCAACTTCCGTTAAGCAGCCTGACGTATGCGCCGTTGGAGCGTGATCCGCCCGCGATGGCAAATTGATGGTGTTGAATTGAGCAATCATTTAGTTGTGTTACTGTAATTCAGGACCGCTGTTTTTTCCTTTTTCACAATCCCTACCATGTCTGTTCATGTAGATACGTACAAAACCTGAAATAAGAGAACTGCACGTGTTCGATGTCTACTTCATTGTTGAAATCATGCACATAATCAACGGTACGAGCCACTTCCAGCACGCAAGCCCCACTTATCGTGACCTAGGTGATATAATTCCTGCATCAGACTTGGGGGTGGTGTGTGGCTATTAGGTAGGAAATGCGCGTAATCTGGAGTGTGGAGACTGTTGTCTAGCCAATAATATTCAACAGACACCCTACTTCTTTCACTGATGATACCCATGCGCCACCCACCTTCTCTCGGTCGACTTTGGTTATCTGGGTTCTGTGCCTGGTCCGTGGCTTGTTTCATTAGTCTCACTGCATAATCTAGTTCGATGAAGTTCTAAACAATGTTTCTTCCTCATCTATACCCCGTCCTCGGGCCTCTACAAAGTACGCGAGCATAAGCAGAGCGAACAAAGCCTTCGCCGGATGGGTCCTTCCACTCTCCTCACATCCCTCCCATTTCTCTATACTATCCTTGTCGCACGGATTGGGAATACTAAAGCTCTGAAACAAAACTCTCCCAATAGCAATGTAAATATGGTCATGTAAGACGGTGTTTATAAAGCCGCAAAAGAAATGTTATGACTCAATGTGAGGCGAACGCCTGAATGCACAGCTAGCCTCAGAAAGGTTATAATAATTGGACAAAAGCACACTGTGAAATGGCTACTCTGGTCAAGAGAAGCATTTCGATGTGGCTGGGAAGCAGAAAAGTAAGTTTTGCGGGCAGAAAATGTTGGGGGTTGGTAATTAAATAGAAATCCGTGTAAAAGAGGGAGGAGTGTTGGTTCGACGGGGTAGTTAACCTGGTCAATTATTTTCTAGGCATACAATTATTGGTCACAGTCATTCAAACCCGGTTTGAGCAGATTGTTCATGTTGTCAAATCTACACACCCCTTCCCTGCCATTAATTAATTGCCTGTTTATTACTATAGTGCCCTCAACCAGTGTCTGTCATCCTATAAACTTAGACGTCCAAGTTGCCATCAAATATCGCTGTTAGATAGGGTAGGGCTTTCATGATCCATGCAATAAAATTGTGTAATTCCAGCCCTCCGCATTTTCCTACCAAAAATTATATTTTCCAGCTTCCTGGTCACATTCTTGACCAGAGAAGAAGCTACCATGCTTTTGTTCTCATTTTATCTCTGTGTATTTTGTCAATTGAGGCGTGTTACCCACGCAGCTTAGGCGGCTTCTACTAAGCAACCGTCCTCTAAGATCATATGAACAAAAGTGACTTCTGGAACGCGACCCGGTACCAAATTGAAAGGGTTGAATGAGATCATTTGGCCCATTCACCCAACAATGTAGTGACAATTTGGAACCAGTTTGTACTTTACTTTCAGCGTTGCACAATAGTTGGAAGAATTACGGCCAGCAAATTAGCCACCAGTTTTGCAGAGACACAAGAAGCAAAGCTTGTACGTCTTGTGCCTCTTTAGTAATCTCTCCTATGAGGGCCGCGACCAGACAGGTCAAATTTGATCCACTATGAGAAGGTAAGCCCCAGCCGGCACCATCAACTTTCGCAACTTGCTATACTAACCCTGTATACCTCTGAACGGTCCTCTGCGGCAACTATGTTCCCGTTAGCTGTCTCCAAGCCACTGAAAAACATTTTTGCGCATACCAGGTGTATCCTTCACAGTAGGTCTTCCATCTGGTTGAAGACGCCCTTAGAGTTCATGGTAGTATTGGGAACAGAAGATCCCTCCTCCAGCTTATAGCCGACTGGAACACTCCCACTGTCAACAAGAAACCTGAGGAGTCAGTAAACAAGGAAACTGAAAAAGTATATTGTGGCTACTCACCCAACCCAAAGCTCAACGTGACTCCGGTGAATCGTTTTGACACTGGCAGTACGCGGATTTTGTCTCTTACTTGCTGAATCGAAAGTCCGAAGATAAATTCCCAAATCTCAAGATTGGAATTGACGCGGGATGAATATGAGTACTCGAGGCAAAAAGAGTAAAATAAAGAGTCGGTTTGTTATAATTGCGAATTCCGGTAGAAAATTTGATACTTCATCATCCATGGGGATTCAACCAGATTTTATAGCTCGTCTTTGGAATTTGGAACTGGCTTACAGTAGCCAGTGGTTTTGGGGCAAAACCGTGACGTATACCCTAGTTCACCAGGTCCAACGCGCACATAATCCTACGACATATGCAATCCGTCCTAGGAGCAATATGCACGATGTGCAGCCAGTTTACAACCCTCCTTCCATTGAACGCTTCATGGTGGCTATGATTATTTCTAGGAACAAACCAAGGGTGCTTCCGGGAGCTGATGAACAGGCCAGAATGGGGTCATAGTTTGCTCCCAGGAACCGACTCTTGAATAGCCCCACTAGAAAATATCTTAAACCTGCCATTGGGCACCTATAAGCAAATATGACCTGCCCTGAAAGTTTCAAAAATTATTCGGAACAGGCTGGCACTGGCCGATATGTTTTTGTCGGATCTTGGATAAGAAGCTTTCCTCTAGCTCCTCTGATTCTATGATAGTAACCGCGGGGATCTGGAAGGAAATATTTTTACTTGAATAATGCAGCTACTGATATGGCTAAGTAAAAATGATGACGACGACGACTGTTCGGTTTACGTAGTCCCGGTCAATCAAAAATATCAAAGAATAAGAAAGCTCCGAGGCAGTAAGTAGATCACGCCCAAGGTTGTCGTATCATACAAACAAAAACATAACAATTACGTTACATTACATCCGGTAAGTACCTACTGAGCATAGCCCTGTGAAATGTGGCGGTGCAACCGTGTAATAGTAATGTAACGGTATTTTGATTTGTGACAAGCCGGCTGTAATCGGTTTTCGTCAGAAAACATTGCGTTCAGACTCGCTATCGTTAAACGATTCTACACAGCGAACCTCTTCAGATTTAAATTTAGCACGAATGACGGCTAACATCCTGATAGAAGAGTTTCTTAGAAATGTTAGCTCTGGAGAATGTTACAAGATCTTTCATCCATTATTTCGCTGCAGCGAGAGTGCCTGTCGCTGGAGGCTTGGGTAGTGACATTATAACATTGAAGGCAGATGGATGTTAGTTAATAAATTATGTACAAATAGACTATGATTGACACACAACATTGCGCTCGACTTGTATGAACGACTTAGCGAGCATACCTCTGACGGGCCATCCGATTAGCCCCGGATCTGGTGCATCGCTGGGGAAGCTCTAAATCCTGCCAGGCCTGTCGCAGAAAGGCCGTATCTATGTCTGCGAAGTGGGGTCCAATCTGCCTTAAGGTCAGATTCTGGCTCTTGAATTCAAGCATTTTTCTTCTCTCCTTTGCATAGAGTTTCTGTCGCAGTTTTTGAGGGCTCGGTTCAGCCAAATGATGCCGAGGCTGTTGTGATCTCGTCTTGGTGAGATGAATTGGAATATCACAGCGCGGTTTTCGATCGCTTGCCTTCTCTTGGAGACTGCCTTCATATTCTCCCTCATCGTTTTTGGCCCCATCTTTTTCTGGAAAATTTTCTAAAATGTCCTCAACGTTAGGAAGCTCTGAAGTGGGCGGTTCCTTTCGGGAGGACTTCTTGCTTTGTCTTGCTTCGTCTTCAATGTCACAACCAGGCTGCTCGGGGACAAGGTCTGAGGCAGGTGAATTCGATCGCATTGTGTAACTAAGCGACATCTTTTTGGTGTCGAAATCGGTGGTAGAGAGACTTAGTGAGTTCAACCCGGCGGCAGCTTCATCACAAGCCTGTTGCTCAATTCCATTGCTGTAGCCAATGGGCTCAAGGATTTTTGGATCAATCGCCTCAAGCCCAGGGGTCGTTCGTCGAGAGCTTAGAGGAGAATTGACCGCGGAGAAGCCCGATTTAAAGCTGCTTCGGCTACTCGAGCAGAGACTGTTGGACCTTTTGGACAAATCCTTTTGAGGGTCCTCTGTGGCAAATGACTCAAAATGCGGGGCAGGCAAGAATTTCTCGCTGAATATTTGGTCATCAAACTGCTGAGTTGGAAATGAATAGGAACAAAAGCGGATTTTCTTAGGCTGCTCCTCAATTGGCTCCGTTGAATAAGTTTCCTCTATAGTCCTGCTGGAGCGCTTCCTCTTTCTCGGTAGTTTTGGGGATTTCCAAATAGCTTGGTGAAGTCCGTGCTTGTCATGCAAGTGATATCGCAACTGGCGTTCACTGTCAAATGTTTGGATACATCCACATAATGGTTTTGAAAGGGGCCAATCAATATTTGGAATATGTTGACTCTCGATATGTTCTCTCAGGTTACAACTTCGCGGCCAATAATCCAAGCGTTTGTCGGCTGGAAGATCTGAGTCCGACAAACAGAAGGGGCAGTATCCAGGACGAATGACGGTATGACGGTATTTGATTACTTCACAGTGTCGGGTTTGCCATGACTGGAGATGTTCGGCGCAATGATCTCGCCACTGATGGGACAAGTACCATTCCATGCACTCATAACAGAATCTCATTCGTGCTTCTGAGACTTGTAAATCAATCGCTTTCTCGCGCCGTATGCATTTATGAGTGTGAGCGCTTCGTTCACATTTCTTCAAGCTATAAAGTGTGTTGGTACCTGTAATCTGATTTGTAAAGAAGACCACTTACCTTTCAATATTGATCTGACAATGTCTTGAAGGGCAGAGCCCTTCAATAGGCTCTTCATTTGGTAAATAGACAACATCAAAATCGCGGGAACACTGAGTCTGTAGGTCTTGGACAAAGAGAAGTTTCTCTCTAAAGGAAAGCTCAGTAGTGAGGGCCATAGCTGTTGCAATTCGCCCTACCTCCGGCATTATTAGGCTCTGAGCTCGTGTGAAAATGTCATTTTCCAATAAGACCGGTTTGTCTTTGCCGCGACTAAGGATTTTCTGGTCTCTTCTCCATTGTACCCATTGACTTTGATACTGCTTGAGCTCAGATCGACGCTTTCGTACCATTGATTCACGTAAATTCAACTTCTCTGCCCGAAGTGAAACTTCATCGTTGCAGCTTTCAAAGTTTTCAATCCGATTTTGTATTTCCACCATTTCCGGTTGCATCAAAATACTTTCTTTGATGTGCGCTGGCAGTTCAAGGGGCAAGCCGGGTTCACAAAATTGCCCATAGCCTTGGAAGTACTCAATGTGTTGCGATTGAGGCTCCTCATTTAGTATGGCCGACACTGTGTCTATAGAAGAACAATGGGCCTGATAATGTTCGGGAAATGTGTTTGGATCACGATGTGCAAGAATCTGCGAAACTGGAGCAGAGCCATACCTTTCTGCCTAGGGCGTCAGTCCGCAGATCTTACAGTCAAGTTGAAAGCACTTACGTTCAACCTCCTTTGCCAGATTTCGACGCAAACAATGTATTGTGGGGTGCTTGGTATACCCAACTGCGACGAAGATTTGGTGCAGGTAATTAGTGAACCTCCCTTGCGTTAGAGGGATGTCTTGAGGTCCGTCGGCTGTAACGTTGCGGAAAATTGGTTTTGACAAATAATCTTTCTTCCATCGCAGTGGAATTTCCCCATTTGACAGGTCGTATTGTGCCAGATCCGCTACAGATTCGATCCCAAAAAGAGCGCCGTGTTCCAGTGCAAGGCTGAGGAGGACCTCGCCAGATGCGAACTGCGGTTTGCTGCTATCTCGGATACCAATTCCGAACCTTGAAACATATTAGTGCAATCAAGTGATAATCAAGAAATTTCCAGCCTTACACTGTATATTCTGAATCTCGATTATTCTTCAGCCAAACCTGGTTGACCCTCCATCCCACTTCCCAAGGATCGGTGCGCGAAGGAAACAGAACCAAGTCGATGTGCTAATATCGGGCCTTAGAACAGAATAATCGTTAGGAATGGTAGTTCACCTACTTCGTATCGAAGGCCTCTCTGGTGTTTGTTCTCATCCGAGGGCATAAAACTTCCCACCCTTGCTCCAGTGAAAAGATATAGTTGAAGAGCAAATAGTATGTCAACTTTGATCAGCCCAGGAATGAATTTCTTATGATCAATTTGCCATATCGAGGAGACGACTTTCAAAAAGTCGTCCTTTGTAAAGTTGTATTTCTGCTTTTTCTTATTCACAACAACTTTATCTACCGTCAAGGTATTCCTGATCCACTATTTCCCGTTCGATAAAAAATTAATTCCGTCCATTGATAACTTCAGAAGAAAATAGGGATGGACTTACTTGGTAGACTTCCGTTCGATCCTCTGGAATGACTTCGGTTTTGGTAAATTCAGCGAAACCACCGAAGAACTGCTCAGCCCACGCCTGAGCAGACCTCACAGTTGGCTCTTTGCCCTCGGTAAGTCGACCTAATGTAGATTTTGCAAGCCAACGAATGAATTGTTTCACCATGTCATGGCTCGGAGCCTCACACCCCTCAAAGGTTTTGTAATCCTGATATCCATTTTCGGGATCTGCCGTGAAGCTAGGAAAAAGTCAGCAACGATTTGGCCGGCATTTTTCTCAACATACTCGAGCCAAAGACCCAATTTCTCTTGATGCAACCTCTTTGTCTTGGGAAGTTTTTTGTTTTTGTTTCGAATGGAATCTTCCTCCTTGTGTGCTCCGGGGACGAAGCCATTCTTCTCTCTAAGGAGTCGACGCTTCTCTTTCGCCTTTTCATCGCGCTCGGAGAAAAAGAGCTGTCCGCCCATTATCGAAGACGCTGTCTGATCTAAGCTTGGAGGCACTGCTCGAGGAAAGCGATCTGAATTCGAAAGAAGTCATGAGATATCTAGAGCTGGACATGATCCCCTTTTGTACCTGACATTTTTGAGCTCGAGCCACCTCTAGAAATTGTAGACTTTGACATTATCGCCCGGTAATGCATGACTATTTCCATTTTATTCCCTGCACGACAGATATGACGCAAATCACTGATGGGGTAGGGTAGTCAGAAAACGAGGGCAGCCCAAACATGACCGACGGACTAGCCATCACGGAATAAATGGCCCTGTGGGTCCGTCTATTTTGAGTATGGTCGATTTTTTTGTGCTGGCCAAATCAGAGGGTGCTCACTTGAGGCTTAGTAAGGAATCACCTAGTACGCCTGAGCACTCACTGAGCACTCACTGCGCCGACATTGAGCACGACTGAGCAATCACTGAGCAATCACTGAGCAATCCCTGAGCACAACTGAGCAAGCACTGAGCAATCACTGAGCATTAGTCATCGGTCACGTGATGGGACTGAGCATGATCACTGAGTCTGAGCCCGTACTGACGTCTACTCAGTGATCCTGAGCATGAGCGCCCTCATAAAGCGGCGGCAGCCTAGATAGGAAAGGCCCCACCCGGCAGACTTTATCCTGTCTATATAGGTGCATATAGTCCAGGTTCTGTCATGTGTTTTACATTTCTCTTCTCAAGTGCATTCTTTTGAGATAAATAGAGCCGATATAACGAATTATTGGTTACTGACAATTCAGAAGTTAAGACAATGATGTCGAGATAGTAAAAGACCCCCAATGACGAGTCTTACCAATATTAATTTGTTACCGAAAGAGTAGATAAATTAAATTAGCGATAGATATTCAAGGCGGAAACCAATCTTTGAAAAGTTCCTTAAAGACGAGGCCTAATATCCCAACCAGAGTAGCTCAAGTATCCCAGTATCTGCACTTGCTCCCATAAAGCATCATGTTAATCATCAAAAGCCTCACCAGAACCGTATCCAAGCTCAACCCTTCATAAAGGGATTCTAGGTGCTCTTCTCCCTCAAAGCCTCCTCGGCTGTAGCAATGATCTGAGGAGGTCTTGGGATATTCTGGCGGAAGATGTATCGCTTAATAAACCAAGGGAGCCACACAGTCGTTTCGTAGTGGATGAATTTCTTGGTTGGGACTGAGAAGACCTCTGCAGAAGTATTAGTATGCTGCCACACATGGATTGATGGATTGAAAATTCCACTTACGATCCAATTCTTCCAGAGTGAGCTGCTTGGTCTCTCTTACGAAACAGAAAATCATGAACCAAGCGATGAGATTGAGTCCGGCGTAGAATCCGACTGTGATGAGTTGGTAAGCATAATTTCACTGTGGTATGATCCTACAGAATCCACTTACAGGCACCAGTTGGAGTCATGACGGTTTTCATTCGAGGGAATGTCAAACTGAGGATACCGGCTGGGAAGAATGTTAGAGGAATATGACCAAGGTAGTCTTTTGAAATCATTACCGAAAGTGTTGTTGATGCACACAGCCCAGGCCATTCCTTGCTCACGCTGGATAGTAGGGAAAACCTCGGCGGAGTACTGGAAAGCGACTGGACCTTCACCCAGAGAGTAGCATATGGTAAATAGGTACACGAACCTAGACGAGAAAAGTGGTCAGCTAAAGCACAGATTCAAAGCATTCAGGAGAGAGAGGCTTACAGGACCACTGGTCCAATTCTGGCCCCCTGACTGCCGTCAGTCTTCAGAAGGGAGAGACCAGCTGCGAGTAGGAAAATGCACATGAGAGGGAAGGTCTTGGATGATTTAAATGTCAGTTATGTCTATATCCGTGAAGAGAAGGCGGAGCCACTCACAATCAGTGTTAGGGTTCGTCGACCCTTCGTATCGATCAGGAACAAAGTCGGGATAGTTGAGACGACCTGAATAGCACCGTAGCCAAGAGAGGCATACAAAGCTTGAGTCGCAGTGTAACCCACATTCTCGAAGATAGTTGAACTATAGAAAGAGATAACTAGAAAATGTTAGGGCTGCCAGACGGTAGAAGTCCAGAATGAGACTCACTGTTGATCCCGCACATCTGCTGAGCAATCATGACAGTCGAGGCACCATAGTTCGCTCGCCTAATTCTAGGCACAGCAAAGCAGTCCCACATACGGGAGAAATAGCCAGCGCCTCGGGCCTCCTTAAGTTCCTCCTCATAGATAATGTACGAGTAATAGTAGTCCCTTGCAGCGATGATAGGATGAGCTCGCAAGCGGACCATAGATTTGAATGCTGCAGCGTGTTTGCCGTGCTTCATGAGCCAACGAGGGGACTCGGGACAGAAGAAAATGCCAATACCCAGAATGAGTGATGGAATGAACGCCGAGCCGAGCTGAAGGCGCCAGGCGATATCACCAGTGTCTTTGACAATGACGTTGGCAGCGAAGCCCAAGAAGATACCTGCCGCAATGATTAGCGATAATTTCTAGAGGAAATCAAGGAGATACTTACCAGCTACAACCCAAAGTTGCCAGAACATAACAAGAGCGCCGCGGATTCGGGCCGGGGCCATCTCGGCAGAGTAGATAGGCACAGTAGCGTTCTTCGCACCAATACCGATACCCATGACGAATCGCGCAGCAAACAAACCCTCCCATGACTGTGCAAAAGCGGAACCAATCGGGGTAGCAGTGAGGCAGAGAGCAGTCACGAAAATTTCACCCCTTCGGCCCAAGTAGTGGTTAAGTGGATCGACAATGAAAGCGCCGCTGTATAGTATACAATGTCAACCTCAAAAGCCAGAAAGAGGGGGGAAAGGGTCATATACTCACACCAAACCAGCAGTCAAGAAAATGATCGAATTGACAATTCCCACAATCCATTCGTCTTTGCCTGTACCAGCAATACCGAATTCCTGAGGGAATGACAAGTTGGCTCCGTTGGCTCCAGTCTGATCCCATCCTTGAGTAGCGGCTCCAACGGCACACAGACCGATAGAATACCAAAGCATAACAGGACCATGCCATTTGTGATCTCTTTCGTATGTGAGCGCAGCGCGCTCCTGCTCGTCCAACTCGGTGATTAGTTCGAATCCTTTAGGGTCTCGGGCGACCAAAGCGGCACGGCCGAAGAGATCGGCATGCTCGGACATGTTATGCGATTCGGCGTAGGTGCGAGCATCGGCTACGACTTGCTCCTTGGAGTTGCGCTACAGAAACGAAGACAGTCAGTATCCATATTCAAAAGTAGTTCATAGTTGGACATGGCGAAGGATGTAACATTGCAAAACGCACCACAAGAGGATTCTCAATGATATTCATAGCCCCAGCCTTCTGGCCACGGCCGGCAGGCTCAACCAGCTCCGGTGCAAGGTCAGCCTTTTCCTGAACCACCTCCGGCGCCAGAGCAGCATCATCCTTAGCAAGTTCAGGAGCCGACACGGCAACGTCCTCCTCGTGAGAGAGAACGCTCTTAGAGTCCTTTCCGTCCATGATGAGAGAGTGCTGGAAGTGAGAGTAAGAAAGGTGACGGGGAAGTTCTTTGTTCCCCTAGCGAAAAAATCACCTCAAAGCACTTTCGTGGTGAGAGGAAAATTTGGCACCTATCCCGCATATAAAGACGATCTGCACCCCCGTGGGGTAGGCCGAAACGCCGATACAACCGAATTCAACCCTGTCGCGCTTTAGCACCCTTGGCTTGTCTTTGAGGACTAATTAGGGTTAGGCTGGTAAGCACTAGCCGCCTTGGAAGGGGACATAGCACTTTTCAGCCCCCCGGGCTGATTCTAGAGGTTTCCGAGGCGAGTGTTACTGATCTAGTTCTAATGAGAATGCTATGTTTGAAGGTCATTGTACTCAATTTGTTTGCATACACGTATCGACATGAAGTCGACGCCCCGTAGGAGCAGGATCAAAGTGTGTGCGGGGGAAAATTTTCATTAAGCCAAGGCTTGGACGCCCCGCCTGGGCCGTCAACGGGGAGGCCGATTTGGCTGTTTGACCGATTTGACTGTTGACTGTAGACACAACTTGACATTTTTGCCATATGGGCCCACATGGATCCACGTGGAGTAAACCCTATACGTTGCTCGTTCAATAATATTTTCCTATTTTTTATCTGGGGTAACCCGCGATTTTCTAGGCATCTGAAGAGAACTTGATAAAATAGCAGACTGGAGGGCCTACGGCCCAAGCGCCACAAAGCGCTCGCCACCGACGGAAGGCCCCAAATATAAAGGATTTGGGGGCGTAACCTTAGTACCGTAGTCACTAGCGGCTGACCCGACCGTGGCGTCAGCCATAATACCGCAATTGAAGCGTCAGATGATGCTGCCGATCAGCACCGTATTGGCCGGTCTCTCTATGTGGCTGGCCAGAAAGTCACACCACGGCAATTTGTCAGATTTAGGGGTAAGCCTACGATGCAAGCAAACGATTTAGATCTTAACAACTAATTTAGAAGAGACGAGGTCTGAGATGAGATGTGGCATTTTGAAGACACTAGAGCCGTATTAGCCGTAACTCATCCCTCGTCAGCAGTTGGTAAATGGGCTGACTTGCAGTACGATTGCAGGGGTGTTGAGTCTTTTACATGAAAGGATTTATGATTTAACTCATACTCTCTATACACACGTTAGACAGGGGTGAGTCAGTGACTGATGTAGAAATGGAAAGTTAGTTCCGAAGTATAAGGTTCGGGAAATACCTCGCGTGGTGATCTAAGCGCTAATGTAGCGCAATGGCCCCATGATCTTGGAACTACAATAAGCACGAACAAGTCACTTGTGCCAAATTTTTGGCTGTAAGCAAACCAGTTCTTTTGATAGATATGCTATTAGATGCGCGGATAAAATTCACCACTGAGTTTTACTTCTATTCACTCGGAGTAGATATATCAGCATCGCAACTCACAGAAGTGCATTACAAGGTTTGTGATAAAGAGATTCACAACTGTAAGGGGGTTTCACGCGTGTCCTGTCTTATCCCGAAGTGCATGTTACGCATTGATGCTCTAGAAAAATCTAGCAAACACGTGGGCAACCTTAAAAAGGCCCGAGCCAATGTCCAAGCAAAGAGCTATGCATAACGTATAATTGACAAGCAGATCCACTAGGATCCCTGGATTACGCGCTTGAAATAAGTTGAAAGGGATTGCATCCATCCTATAGAAACCATAGTTGCCGAAGGACTGTATCAGAAGTGACTTTTCACAAAAAGCACTGCTTGGGTCAGTGTCTACGACGCAAGGGGTAAAACCTACCTAATAAAGTCAATATACTTTCGGAGAGTATTTGCTCGTGGAAGAGCACACCGCTGTATCTACTATGACGGAGGAAAGACAATTGTGACCTCCTGCCGAGTCTCAGATTTTCATCCAGGGACCTGCTAATAGTGCCTCAAAACTTAACATTAGCTCTCATGCCAAGACTAGCGTTGGGCTTTAACGCCATATATGTGCCTTAGACAGGACAGGCTTATACCATATCTGGGCACTTTAACAGCTAACAAAATGGGTCGATAGGTACATTTCGCCCACCAACTCTAACTCTGGCTTCATCAAAAATATATAGCGTTCACAAACTTGAAAATGTGAGGACCATAAATAGACATAATCCTTTCTACATTCGAAATGCGATAGAGGATGCCAATGTCGAATATAATAACTCGATGGTACAATCCCGTTAACTAGTGGAGCCGTTCCCGCCCCTCCAATTTCGATTCTCTTCCCATCTACACAACTCCGATCCATCAGGTTAAATTCCGATATTCTACATGGGACGGCTCCAGCGCACCCCATGTTTCCAGTGTCGATGTCGTAAGGTAAGCTTGAACAAGCGCCGGGTCAGAACCGAGCTAAAGAAGACAGGTCCGTTGCGATCGCCGCCCAGGCACCTGCGAGAATTGTGCCCGACTGGAATTTGCATGCTCTTTCTCGAAAGAAAATGGAGTGGGTTCCAAGTACGATTATATCAGAGACCATCCGCCCGAACGGCGGCGGGGAAACCAGGCCTGTACGGAATGTCGTCGTCAGAAGTCTCGGTGCTCCGGAGAGAGCCCTGAATGTGCGAATTGCATTCGCAAGCAGCGTCGATGTCGATATCCAACAACCAAAGAACCTGTTCAGTCGACGTCTCAACAGACTCAGCGGCCGTCAGAGGTGACAGTCACCCCAAACCCACATCAGAATGAGGACTTGTATGACTTCCCAACTGTATTTCTTCATGTATCTGACAGATATAGGCTGTTCTCACTTATCTCTCGTGAAGAACTTTTCCAGAGAGTTGGTGACTTTTTCGAGCGGATTTATCCGATGACTTCATATGCCTTTCTTCATGAGCCGACAATTCGAGAGCAAAGCCAGAATAACACCCTGGACCAGTGTCTTGCTCTAGCCATTGTCGCAATTGCAAAGATATTATTGTCACCCAAAAGCCAGCCGTTAAATGAGAGTGTGTCTCTCACCAAGAAAGCAGAGACGATTATCTTGGACCACCTGGAAAGGCCATCTACTGTAAAACTCCAAGCCTTGATCTTGATTATTCATTATCATATCCAGACCGGCCGTTTTTCGAGAGCGTATATGCTGACAGGTTTGGCCGCGAGAGCAGCCACTGCATTGCGCCTCAATTATGAACGGCCCGAGTTAAGTTTCATCGCCCAAGAGACTCGCCGGCGAGTTCTCTGGGCTCTAACAGCCATCGACGGTCAGTTTTCCGTGGGGCTACCAGAATATGAGACAATACCACACACAATTATTTATCAGTGCCTCCCATGTCGAGAGGATATATTTTCTATAGGGGATCCAGGGCATGCAGCAACGCCGAGATTGGCCCATCTGGGAAAGGACTCGACCTCACCTATCAGTTTGCTGGGTGTATGCATTCGACTTTCCAAAATCCAAAAGGACATCATGCGCTTGACCCGACAATTAGCTTTGTCGGAACAGCCTCTCGTACACCTGAGTGGTCTAATTCAGGAAATCCAGAAGGACCTATGGCGAGTGCAGGCGGATGTTGAACTATCTTTTGGATACCAAATAACGTCTTCAACACACTTGATCGCCATACAGAACAACCGGTGGTTTACACGCTACCTTCAAATATCCATCACCTGGCACCAGTCGCACTGCGATCTATACCGGCTCTTTCTCCCTGGATACCCCGAAGCTGCCCCCAAAATCATTATTGGAGCGATGGATATCAGCATTAGAGAACATGCCGTCCGTCAATGTCACGAGCATGTTGAGCGTATCAATCAGATACTTTCTGACCTGCAGAATCTTCCCCCTACCTTGCTACTGCCGCACTCGATTGCCATTTGTGCATACCACGCAACGCGATTAACGCTTTTCCTTCTATCTTCGCCTGATGTGAACGTACCGTTGGAAATGAGAGATGCAATCACAAAGGCACATACAGCGGCAGCTGTCACCGAGACTTACTTTTCGTCTTCGCCGAGTACGAAACAAATTGTCTTGGATTTGCAAAGGCTTGAGCACGCAGTAAATATCGAGCCGGAGTCGATATACCGGGAGTTGTGTGGCCCGTCTCCGCCTTTTGATCAGGGCTTCCACCGGCATGGTCATTTAGCGATTCATAGCTTGGTTCGACAGGCTAATTTTGTGGATGATGGTTATGATTGACTCGGCCTCGGTGGGTAGATGTATCATAGCCAAGCTCGGGAGTTGAAATTTCAATGGGAATCCTTATTGATGCTCTATGATAAATCTCGAATCACTGACGTTTCAAGCTCTTAGGCAGTGGACCTTAGCTTGATTATATTCTCCCGTTGCCCAATGTGGTGAAAGACCGACTGCCGCCGACACCCGTAGTGAAGTGGGTCTACGAAGGAAGTGTACGCTTGCGCCATTCTTTGTTTGCCAGCAACCCTTCAACGGATCTTCATTGGAAGAAATTGTCATGAATGAGGGGGTTAGAGATCATATTGTCCCGCAAGAGGGGCTGCAGTGGACTATCTTCTCATTTAAGTGTCCCAAGCTGGGGTATTAAAACCCGCGACACCCCTGGATGAATTTTACACTTGGATCTCTGTTCAATCCGAGCAAAATTGGCTGGAAATTAAAGGGAAGATCTGCTATTGCTGCAAACATCCAGCTCGTCAAGGAATCACGTACCTGAAGACAACATGGCGTCCCAAACCCGCCCGAACATTCTGTTCATCATGGCCGATGACCATGCCTCGAAATCTATCTCGTGTTATGGAGCAGGTATTAATGATACCCCTAACCTCGATCGACTCGCCAACGAAGGCATGAAGTTCAACCACTGCTACGTAACCAACAGCATCTGCACTCCATCTCGAGCCGCCATTCTCACAGGAACACACAACCATGTCAACGGGGTCATGACCCTCGACTCAAAGATCAACAAGCACAACCCCAACGTAGCCAAATCCCTACGAACAGGGGGATACCAAACAGCCATGGTGGGTAAATGGCATCTGGGCGAGGGCGAAGAACACGAGCCAACAGGATTTGACTACTGGAGCGTAGTACCAGGACAAGGCGAATACCACGACCCGGAATTCATCGGACCAGAAGGGACGAAGCGCGAGCGCGGATACGCAACCGACATCATCACAGATAAGAGTCTGAAGTGGATAAAAGAGCGCGACCCGGAGAAGCCCTTCTTCATGATGTGCCACCACAAAGCACCTCACCGCAGCTGGGAATGCCACCCTAAACACCGCGACCTATACAAGGATCCAATCCGGCTCCCGGATACATTCACGGATGACTACAAGAATCGCGCGCAGGCAGCGAAGGTCGCCAAGATGCGTGTGGCGGAAGACCTCACATATTTCGACCTAGGTCTAGTCCAACCAGACGGCGGGCTAGACATCGGCGAGAAGATGATCGATAAATGGTGGTTCCAAGACCGCAAGATTCCCGCACCGGAAGACGACGTGACGGGAATGAAACTCATTGACAAGGAAGATGGCACAGTCTTCACATTCAAGTCGCCGCAAGAACTCGCCGAATTCAAGTTCCAGCGCTACATGCAGCGCTACCTCCGCACAATCCAAAGCATAGACGAAAATGTAGGCCGCATGCTCGACTTCCTCGAGGCAGAAGGCCTAGCCGAAAACACCATCGTCATCTACACCTCCGACCAGGGCTTCTTCCTCGGCGAGCACGGCTGGTTCGATAAACGATTCATGTACGAAGAGAGCTTCCAGATGCCCTTCCTTATCCGATACCCGCGGGAGATCGCGGCCGGGTCGGTCTGCGACGATATAATCTGCAATGTGGATTTCGCGCCTACATTCCTAGACTTTGCCAGTCTGCGCATGCCGACGTATATGCAGGGAGTAAGTTTCCGTTCTCTGTTGAGGCAGCAGACACCTACCAATTGGCAGCAAGTCGCATACCATCGTTATTGGATGCATCGCGATGTTATCCACGAGGCGTATGCTCATTATGGTGTGCGTGACCAGCGGTATAAGTTGATTTATTGGTATAATGAAGACTTTGGGATTGAGGGGACTCGTCCTGGGGGTGAGGAGAAGGAGTGGGAGTTGTTTGATTGTGATCTAGATCCGCTTGAGCTGTTTAACTGTTATCATGATGCGCGGTATGCTGAGGTTGTTACGCGTATGACCAAGATGCTTGAGGATAAGATGGAGGAAATTGGTGATGAGCCTGTTCACCCGCGTTGAGGGTGGGAATTGTACGTTAGCAATTGTCTTCACAAATGCGAACATGAATGTCTTCTACTGTGTCATCCACAGTAAATTGGGAGTTCAATGGGTGTCTTGCTAAGCAAGAACAGGCTTGAGTGGTACCTATCTCTAGGCCTGTTAATCCCCGCACCGATGATTGTACCGCTAAAATCAACCCCTTCACACACCAGCGGGCCCAATCCCCAAACATCAATGCTATCAACATAAACAACATACATCAATTGACATCAATCCCACAAATACATTAGATAAACCAAATTGCACGAACCCGGGATGATCCGCGCCCATGTGGTCACTCATGCATCTAGACGCAACCTCGGACCCCTCCTGCAGACTCATTCAGGTCAGAATCCGCCTCAAATTTCGGTGATAATCGAATAGCCGGGGCCCGGGCCAAGCCACTAAATTCTTCAACAATATCGGAAAGCATCCATCAAACGGTCTACTGCGGTCTACTTCACAGCCCCCGTGATTGACTGTATGCGGGGATGCCGATTTATGATGCAACTAAAGGCTAGGATGGCATTTTGAGGTTTCGGTGAGGGACTCTCTCATTCATGCACGATGCAACTCGGGAACTCTCGGCATCTGGCACGGGCTCCATGTGTTCAAGTAAGGGGTTTGCCGTGGGGCATTCTTGTGATAAGGATGGGCGTTATTCTGGGTATATGGGGAGCTATGGATTCTAGACTGTTGTTTAAGGAATTTAATGTTATTTCTAGTGAAATTAGCCCTAGAGATACTGTACTGTACAGGGAGAGTCGGGATGTCTCTCGCTCTGTAACCCCCATGCCGACCAGCTTCCGTTTCGGGACAGGGGTCGGGAACGGCTAGACTCGCCCTCGGCGAGATCCCGTGTACGTGGGATGTACATGTATAGCGTCATTACTTCAGACGAAAGATGGTCGGGTGAAGATCCATCACACTCGGAATACATGCTCTCTTGGGGTCCAGCCATGTCGGATGCCCAACAATGATATTAATCACAATGCATAGCGTGATAATACTCACCCGTCGAGCGTCATCGCCAATATTTACCTCAGATCGTCCATCCTCCCGGCCAGTCGGGTGGCTTCTAATTCCCTGTGCTACGAATTCCTCGGCTTATCTAGCATCCGCCAAGATCGCCCTAGACTACAGTAAAGGCCGGCCGCAAAGTGAGACACGGTTGCCCCAGTCTCCCAAGCCTCATTCTCAAAAACCGGGCCTCTGAGTTGGACCAGGGTAAGTTGGTGCGAGAGAAATAGGGGAGACGCTATTGGGTGGCAAGAGTGTAGATAGAGAAATGGGCGGGCCCCATAATGAGGAAACCATTTTCCCTCGTAGCCGAAACAAGGAAATTGAGACGCCGATAAGCAGAAACCAAGAGAAACAGCGGGAAAGGCGCGGCGAGGCGGACGAGTAAAGTTAAGATCGGCCAGTCTTAAGGTTTGCGGGAAATTCCCCAGATCCCCGCACTAAAGCAGATCTGGGGTGGTTCAGTACTGCGTTGACGTATGTGAGCGTGTGGACACATATATAAATCCACATTTGTCTTTTAACATAATTAACCTGCCCTCCATAGCAGAGTCAATTGAATCTGCATCGCAGAGCACCATTGCCTTTTTTTACTTTTTTATTGCGTTGATCTATATACTTCCCTTCCCACCATGTGGCCGCGCAACAACAAGTCCTCTCAGGAAGACAACCAGAAGGATGATACCGGCTTAGAAACTGTCAACCATGGAGATGTCAAGACAGATATGGAGAGTGCCCATATTGAGAAGATCGACGCCAGTGTGGACAATATCGCCACTAGCATCGACAACTTACCAGTCAGCTGGTTCGTGTGGCTTGCAGCCCTAACCGCGTCAATGGCTGGTCTGCTCTTTGGATATGATACTGGTATTATTTCTGGTGTGCTGGTATACCTGGGCGACTCTCTCGACAACAGACCGGTGACGAGTAGCGAGAAGGAGATGATCACTGCTCTTTGCTCAGGGGGTGCGTTTGTTGGTGCTATCTTTGCTGGAAACACCGCAGACAAGGTATGCACAGGACACTTGTACTTATTGTCTCTCTATGGATCCCATACTGATTCTACATGTGTTAGTTTGGCCGCAAAATGGCAATCTACCTCGGCTGTGTTCTATTCATCGCCGGCGCCGTCATCCAAGGCGCGTCCTACACCGTCGCCCAAATGGCCGTTGGCCGACTCGTCATCGGATTCGGCGTCGGCTGCGGTGCAATGGTCCTGCCATTATACGTCGCAGAAATCGCCCCAGCCAAAGCCCGTGGAAAACTCATCGGTTTGAACAATATGTCCATCACCGGAGGCCAGGTTGTCTCCTACGCAATCGGAGCTGCCTTTGCCAGCGTCCCCAACGGATGGCGATACATGGTCGGACTGGGTGCCGTGCCTGCCATCGTCCTGGCTGTGCTGATGCCCTTCTGTCCCGAGTCACCTCGTCACCTGGCATACAATGGTCGCAACGCAGAAGCCAGACTCGTCCTTCGGAAGATTTACAAAAAGGCTACCGAGGATCAGATCGATGCTGTCTTACTCTCTATCTGTTCTGCCTGTGACCAGGCCCGCGAGATTAACGAGAGCGGTTCTCGATTCTCGAAGATTAAGCAGCTGCACACTATCCCAAGTAACCTCCGCGCTTTGATTAGTGCTTGTGGCTTGATGGTTATCTCTCAGCTTTCTGGTTTCAATGCTCTGATGTACTACTCGTCTACACTATTCTCGCTGGTCGGATTCGACAACCCTACTGCCGTTGGCCTTGTTGTTGCAGGCACCAACTTTATCATGACCTTCGTCAATATGATGATGGTCGATACCATGGGTCGTAGGAAGCTGCTTCTGTCGACTGTGTGGGGAATGGCGGTGGGTATGATTGCCATTGCTGTTGCCTTTATGTGGATTCCCGTCGACCTGGACACGATGGAGGTTACCAGCCATGGGGTCTCCAGCGCTGCCATCGTTGTCCTAGTGTTCATCATTTGGTTCGTGGTCTTCTACGGCGTTTCAGTCGGAAACACCGCGTGGATGAGCACCGACTTCTTCCCTCTGGAGGTTCGCGCTATTGGAACTATGTGGTTGACTTGCTCAAACTGGGGAGCCAACGTTATCATCTCTAGTACATTCCTGTCTATGATGAAAGCTTGGACTCCGTCTGGAGCATTTGGATTCTTTGCTGCTATCTGTGGCCTTGGCTACATCTGGCTCTACTTCTTCTACCCGGAGGTTTCTGGACTTGTTTTGGAAGAGGTTAAGGAGGTCTTCGAGCATGGATTTGGTGTTAAATATGCTCGGGAACTTCGGAAGGAGAGGAAGGAGATTATTGAGGAGAGGATGAAGACTATGGAGAAGCCGGTTGCTGCTGGACATTGAACAGCGTCTCCAATGGGTCGGGTCCTTGGTCGCATGTACCATACTTAGAATGATCATACTTAGATGAGTTCGATGACAACATATGACACATTTACATTATCCATTCACTATTTCTGACTGTGAGAATATTCTATTCAAATCGAAGTGGTGTTGACGGGAACCGACGTAATCCCTACTAGTCTCCCACACATTTCCAAATATATTCAATGATCAATACATGGATGATCGCTTAGACGCATTCCTGAGTTCGGGGAACATTTCCCACTACGGAGATATCCGCGTGGAGTAGTCAACCCCGCAAACTTTAGCGTCCCCCGCATCTGAACCAAGTGAAAAAGGAAATACTCGCCGCTACTTTCGACATCTTCCTGTGATTACCTGATACACTGTTGGACAGTATTCTGGTGACTATATTATGCCAAGTTATGGAAGGTCCTCTCTCTAGACGTCGACGGGATGTCCCCTGTCATCATTGTCGATATGTCATACCCACTCAAACTTGACGTCAACTCACTAACTTGAACATACAGAACGGCATTTGAAGTGTAAGAACTATGTGTCTAGCCTCATCAAGAAGGTCCCTAACGACTGAGAACAGGCGAGTTCGAGCCCGGAGCAAGCGGCTGCCGACGTTGTATTCAACACAAGAAGATCTGCAAACGACGCACCGATAGAGGCCGCTTCAGCTTTATAACGCACGGCCAGAGTGAGTTTTCTTTTCCGAAAGATCAGATATGGCTGCACACGAGATGTAAGAAACCAGGCTCTACGGTCTTCTACCGGAATCTTCGGTGCATATCACGGCTACTGACGCTAGGCAATAGCACAATTGACCTTTTTGACACAAGATGACGAGGCCAAGTCTGACACACTTGGCGACGGCTATCGAGGCTCGGAAGATGATGGTTATTGCTCCCAGCCCGAAAGGCCGACAGAGCATACAGGGGTACCGCTGTCTCCCCGATTGCCTATCACTCCCAGAGATGAGAATCTTTTTGACGAGTCGGATACGGCAATTGAAGTAGGCCTGATAGGGGTAGAGACACCGGAAGATAGGGGGTAATGGGGCTGAGAAGTCCTTTCTCTCTGATGATCCTCCGTTCAGCGCGCCGCCAATTTACCAATCCTCTTTCTACACGGTCAGATTCTTTCACCAATCCGGTTCTGGTTTTGACAATTATGCACCTGCCTTTTCGCATACACCAGAGCACCCCCAGGAATCTCCTGGCCATGTTCACGACCACTTTCTTTTCCGTGGTCTGGTCAAGCCTGCCTCGACAAGGCTAGTCAACAAAACTCGACTCCATGCAATACTACATCGATACTTCATCGAAGAAGCTTCTAGAAGGTCTGATCTTTGTGATCAGAAGCGCCTTACAGCTGTGATTCCCCAGCAAGCGTCACCTCCACGCCACTATTGAATGCAATTTACACTATCTCTGCACGCCTTTTATATCGACTACCGCAGTACAGAAATTTAGATGGCATTATTGAGTGGAATGGATTCACCATACCTGGTCTCACAGAAGAGACCGCGGTATACTTTCACAATGAATGCATCAAGGACCTAATTGAACTCAGCACAGCTCCGGAGCAAGTTCATAGCCAGGAATTACTAGCAGCAGCCATCATTCTTCGCACAGATGAGGAGATGGATGCACCACTACGAGAAAGTGACTGTGACTAAGAGCTGTTTCTGAAAATGCTAGGGCTGTTCTTCGATGCACAGGTCACCCAATCAGGATTTGGACATGAATTAACCCCATCAAATACATCAGACTTTCTCCCAGAAAGGAGATTTAATCCTCTATCTTCGCCCCAGGCAGAATATCCAGAGACCTATTTCGCAGGCACTCTAAGCGAAGTTCTTTTCTTAGTCGCCCGCAGCCAGGAACTATTCTGCGCCTTCATGCAACAACGTCCCCTCCAATTCCCACTCGGATATTACAATAGCTACCGTAGCTTCGCACCCACAAACGACGTTATCTGGTCAAACAGACTCGTTGTATTCTGCGCAGACGTCTTCCAATTCTGCTTAGGGCCAGTGAAATGGGCTCAGCCCGAGCACCAGCAAGATCACAATGGGACGCTCTCAAAGCAAAAGAGACACAATTCAAGCAATCCCTCCTCTCTTCCTTCGAGCCTCTCTACTGCCAGATCCCTTCTCCCGAGAACGGCGACATTTTCCCCGACATCTGGTATAGAGGTGACTGCTGCGTAACGGGTATCATGCACGCCGAGCTCTCGGGAATTCTTCTATCAGCCTTTGATCCAAAAGGCCCAAATTAGGTCTTGGGTACACTGCAGGTGCTAATGCGCTGGTTGAACAGTTGAGAGCTAGCGTTCTGAGGTTGAGTGGGGTTGCTTTGAGTAATCGTGGCTCGCCGCCTACATTTCTCGAGGCTCTTATGGGTATTACTATCTGTAGAGAATACCTTGAGAAAGATATTGAGCGTATTGCTGTTGTTGATTTGCTGGTGATGATGAAGGATGAATATGCTTATTTTATGGATAATGTTGCTGAAATGTTGAAGTGTGCTTGGGGGTGGAAATAGTCTCCTAGCATTCATTGAGTATGCAATGAAATTATATCTACTACATGGTATACTCTACCACTGCTCAGATCAACAATATATGCTCTTAAGCATAGCAAAGACCATAACACTAAAGGCCTCATCACGAGACAAAATCATTTAAAGAACGTTTTCCCAATGCGGCTAGCGTAGCCGAAAATAAGCCCAATTGGGCCACTTTCGGCGATTTTGGGCCCTGATTTGGTTTAGCGCGATGCGGTGACAGTCTAAAGCGGATCAAACCAACCAAGTCTAAACCAATCACAACGTTGTTAATGTTAAATGTATTTGATCAACGCTCGGTCTTCACCTCAACCGCAATCCATTGGCCGGCGATTCAATGCGGGGTATATGATCTCTTCAGTATATATGGAACTGTCCCACGTACGATGAAAATTCAGGGCTTGATGAGTTGTTGCCAAAACGTCTTAGCCATGGCCGCTTATAAAATGGCTGCTCATGGCCGGTCCGTTCTTTTACCCCTCACCTATGATAACTATACAAAATGGCAGCCGCTGTCCAAACCCCCATTGCACCTCCTACATTCAGTGGTACTGTGAAGGAGTATCTGCCAGAAGGCCTTGCACAGAATGGTGGCCGCATCTCAACGGATAAGATAGGTTTCCTTCGGCCAACTTCGGCTTCGCTGCCAGTCGATGAGATGAGAGAGCGGTTGAAGGCCGATGGATACCTTTTCGTCAAGGGGGTTATTCCACGAGAAGATGTTTTGGATGCCAGGGAACAGTGAGCATTCTCCTTGCTATCGAGAAGAACGGATACTAACGAACGCCTCAGCTACTTCAAGCAATACTCTAATACTTCTCTTTTGGACCCTGGCTCCTCTCCTCGGGACGGCATATTCAATTCATCATCCCACCCAGACGCACACAAAGGCATCGGCGGTCAAGGTCTACCCACCGACCCAATCGAGCAAAAGATTCTCATCGACGCCCACAAAGAACCAGAATACCGCGCCTTCGTCGAACATCCCGCTCTAACAAACTTCATCCGTAATCTAATGGGATGGAAGGAACACCGTATCCTTGATCGGACCATGCTGCGCCATAATGTGCCGCTCGGCAAGGGCACAGGAATCCATTATGATAAGTTATTCTTGAGAGGTGGGGAAGGATTCTTCTTGACTGCCTGGGTGCCAATCGGTAAGGCTTCATTTACCCTCTGTCTCCGATACCTTGAAAAGAGCTGTAACTCAATACCCATTCTACAGGCGACATCTCGATTGACGGAGGTGGTCTCTGTTACTTGGAGAACTCCCTACCTCTTGGGCGTGCAATCGAGGAGGATTACACCAAGCGCGCTGCAGACTTTACACCCGAGCAGCGTATTTCTGCGTTTAACGTGAACATGCTGGATGGCGGGATGATCTCCAACTCCCCGCAGGAATTCCAGGCTATGCATTCGGCGCATGGTGAGCATAAATGGCTCGTTACTAATTATGAAGCGGGGGATGTTGTCTTCCATGACCCTTATAGCATTCATGCTAGTGGGCGCAATGAGGACACCGAAGGTCGTATTCGGTTGAGTACTGATTTGAGGTTTTATGAGAAGGATAGTGCTGGGATTGATACTCGTTGGTATAAGATTTGGTGTCCGGGTGATGGGCTGTGAGATATGAAAGAACGATATGTATATCTGACACCCGTGGTAGTTTACGCCCATGAATACTAGGTTTTCTTCAATTTTTTTTATGACTTAAGATGTTATGAAGATAACGCTAGTATTGACACATTCTGGTATGTAATTTGGTCTCTGGGTGTCCAGGAAATGTGCTGTGAGATGTCACGTTAGGACCCGTAAAAAGGACATTATGACCCTCATTGTGTTTAAAACTCATGTAACAGAAGATCCCGGCATCCTTCGTCGAACAGGCAAGATGGCCGAGTTGGTCTAAGGCGTCAGGTTAAGGTCCACCTTAACTCCTACTGTTACAACAGTTTCCTGATCTACGTTTGTAGGCGTGGGTTCGAATCCCACTCTTGTCATTTCTTTTTTACTTTTTAAATTCTTGGACACAGAACCCGAGAAGATCCTTGAAGCAGTGGCAGAGCAATTAAAATATGTGTTAAAATGCTTCCCACGGCAGCTGGTACTCAATTCCATTTTTGCACCGATTCTACTTTTTCGTACCATCAGTCCTCTTCGACTTCTCCACACCAAAGACCAACTCTCAAGAACACATAGTAATTGCCGATCTCTGAAAATAAGGCTTAAATACAAAACACCAATTCAACGGGAGAATATATAGTTGCCGCTGTCTTCTTGGAGAGATCAGCTGACTAAGTTTCAATTCCATCTCCACTTATCCTTTGCGTTTTGACTTTCAACCTCCAACGAGACTTCCATGTAATAGATGTGGGATGGCTTCGCGGCCAAAGCCCTGGTAAGTGGCTGTACATTTCTACCCTCACAAAAGTACTGCCTGGTTTGCTGATTGGTTTTCCCCAGTGATAATTGCCGGAGTATGTCATCATCTCTATCATTTCGTTTCCCATCTAACTATTCTTCCTCATAGGAAACCATTCAAAGTGTAATTACCAATAGAGCAATCCAAACTGCTCTGTTAGAGGCGTGCTAACAAGGTTATAGGTGATGACAGCACCCCAAAATGTTCGAGATGTCAGAAGTCCGGACGAGACTGCATCCGCCGTGAAGCGACGCGCCATTTCTATAACAGCTCAACAAGTGTTACAATAAAATCGCCAGAAAAAGGTCTATATTTTCAACACTCATGCAACCTTTCATGGCTGACTTTGGCTAGGAGCTGCCGTTTTTCAATATATCGATGAGACTCCCAAATTCACAGGAACTCACACAGAGCAAATATCTCAATCTGCCACCGGAGAAGCACAGGATGGGGATCCTAGAGCGACTAGTTCCACTATTTTCTCATCGGCCAGAGAGAATGGATACCATCCATCGTCACTTTCTCTTTCTGTTGTTGACCAACAGAGCCCATCGAGCCGATTGAGCCCTATTGTACGTCACAATATTGTATTGTCTATTGCGGCACCTCTGAGGTCTGAAATTCGCTAACTCGACTTCTAATAGCGCTTACCACAGTCATGGGGGGAATCTCAACGTATACCCACCCCACAGGTTAACCTAGGCGAGGCATTCCTATTGAGGTACTTTGTCGAAGAGCTGGCAAAGTGGGTAAGAGTGGCTGCACCAATGTCCCAATGAGACTGTAATTAATGAGCCTGCAGTTTGACTTGTGCGACCCCGAGCGCCATTTTGGTTTGGTCGTTCCTCAGCGAGCGCGAACTTGTGCACCTCTTTTGAATGCCATTCTGTCTGCATCAGCAAGGCATTTTACTACCCTGCTAAAAGGCCGACAAAAAGAAATGACCGTTAAATTCAGCCTGGAACAGGACTTGATTATCAGTGAAGAGGCGGTATTGGATTATCATAACCGATGCATTGCTCACCTGCGATTCCTCGCCAGTGAGCCAGATGCAATCATGGATGAGAATCTGCTGGCAGCAGTTGTTATTCTTCGTTTCTATGAAGAGCTTGACAGTACGTGGAATTAACCATTCCATCCTCCTCCGTCATGCATACTAATCTACTTCTTTAGACCCATTTGCCTTTGATTCTCCCACAGACGCTGCCGTTCGAGGACTCCAAGTCTTCATCGAAGCCCAAGCTACTCAAGCACTTTCTTCAAAAGGGCTCCGCTCCGCTGCATTCTGGGTTGGTTTCCGCCAGGAGTTTCACATGGCCTTCTCCCAACAACGATCCTTCCATCTGCCCCTCGGAATCTGCGAAAGCTATCTGTCCGGGGATGTCGCACCCGATCATGTTTTGGTGAATAGACTCATCGTAATATGCGCCCACATCGTTCAATATTGCTACGATGAACAAGCCCAGCGCAGTTCCATACGCTATGAAGAGTTGGTAAACCTCTACCACCAGTGGCTCAAGAACAGACCTGCATCTTTTCTCCCAATCTACTCTGCAGATCCCAAGAAGGAGAAAGGTGGGATCTTCCCTCGCAGGTGGTACCTGAACGACTGCCATATTGTTGCAGAGCAGAGTATTGGTCTCATCAATATTCTACTGACAGCGTACGATCCGACTATTGTGCGAGTGGGCCCAGAACAGCGAGGTGCTGTTGCATCTCTGGATTCTAGGCTCAGGTCAATTGTCTTGGAAGTTTGTGGTATAGCACTGTCAAATCGCCAATCTCCGACAGCACTTTTGGCTGCTTGTATTGCGATAACTATATGTGGGGATCGATTTTCTGATCCAACAGAACAGAAGGCCCTGATGGACATTGTGATTCACACTATTCGGGATAACAATTACTGGCCGCCCACCAGCACGGAGGCCAAATTGAAGAGGATTTGGGGATGGCATTAGTACATTTTGTTTGACTTGTTCATAAATTTGTGTTGGCGCAAAATAACACATATATACTCCGGAGACGAAATATATAGCCGCTCAGAATTAAAAATTTCCACATATTAGAGCATGCACATGATGTACCTGTATGAATATTCTCTACCCTCAATATAGATTCAATAAAATGAACAATTCGGAAACAAAAAGCTTCGCGGGGTTAAGACAGTGTGTAGATCTGGCCAATCAGAACCCTTACTGATAGCGGAAGTTCTGACTCATCCCGATATTGGAGAGGGGCAATAGAAAAGAAATTCACTTCTTCAACCACATAGAGTGAGTATTTGGCTGTCTCCTGCAATTGCGTGAAAAATTCCGGGTTACTAACCGGCTCGTTCAAAGACTTCACCCCAGACCGCACATCATGGCGAACGAAGCAGCCCAACCTCCGGCCCTCAACGACTTGAGCCTCGGCGAAAAGACTGCCGAGACCAAAGCCGTTGGCCAAATCGTGACCCCTTTCGATGTCTCCGGTGGTGTTGACGAGTCTGGAAAGCTCCTGCCTGTTGACTACGAGAAGCTTACCAGGGAGTTTGGCGCCACACCCATCAATGCTGCGCTATTGGAGCGCTTTGAAAAGGTTACCGGACACCGGCCACACCGTTTCATGCGTCGCGGTATTGTGTTCAGTCACCGTGACTTGAGCAAGATTCTAGACCGCCATGAGAAGGGCGAGCCTTTCTTCCTCTACACTGGCCGCGGACCCAGCAGTGACAGCATGCACGTGGGACACACTGTGCCATTTGAGTTCACCAAGTATGAACGCCTGCCCCAATCGTGGGAGAATGCTAGAGGCTGATTATCTGAAACAGGTGGCTCCAGGATGTCTTCGACTGCCCTCTCGTGATCATGATGACCGACGACGAAAAGTACATGCACTCCCAGAAGATCGATATTGAGGACTCTAAGAGATACACAAAGGCGAACGCCAAGGATATTATTGCTGTTGGGTTCGACATGAAGAAGACTTTCATTTTCAGCGACTTCGAGTTTATTGGCGGCGCTTTTTACGAGAACATGTGCAGGATGGCCAAGAGAATCACCATCAACCAGGTCAAGGGTACATTCGGCTTCAACGACAGCAACAACATTGGCGAGTTCCACTTCTGTGCCACCCAGTCTGCCTCAGCATTCGCTACCAGCTTCCCTCACATCTTCGGCACCGAGACCAAGAAGGTCGCTTCCATTCCCTGCTTGATTCCCTGCGCCATTGACCAGGACCCTTATTTCCGTCAATGCCGCGAACACGCCGAGAAAATGAAGTTCAAGAAGCCCTCTCTGATTCACTCGATCTTCCTTCCCGCCCTCCAGGGTCCTGGATCCAAGATGTCTGCCAGTGTTGACAGCTCTGCCATTTTCATGAACGACACCCCCAACAAGATCAAGAACAAGATTAACAAGCACGCTTTCTCCGGCGGCCAGGACACTGCCGAGAAGCAGCGCGAGCTCGGCGGAAACAGCAAGGTCGACGTTCCCTTCCAGTACCTGACCTTCTTCCTCGAAGATGATGAGGCGCTGGAGAAGATCCGCAGCGAATACGAGAGCGGACAGATGATGACGGGCGAGATCAAGCAAAAGTGTATTGCCCAGCTTCAGGAGTACGTACAGGGATTCCAGGACCGCCGGGCCCAGGTCACAGATGAGATCATGGCCGAGTACATGCGCCCTCGTCCTTTGGAGTGGAAGGGGAATCCCAGCCCGATCGTGGTTGAGAAGGCCAAGAAATAGACCTAAGTGGCATTGAGCGGAGCATTCGGATACGAAAAGATAAATATGATTTCATAGCCTTTCATCAATAAACCGATACCTTTGTATACCGATGGTAGTTGTGCACTCATAACTTGCGGTAAGGACCTGCTGCCCGGCTATGTCAACACCACTTGGCCTTGCATAAACCCCCTTACCCCATTGCTCAACCAACACAATTCCCCATCCACTAGCTCGTCACGGCTGATGACTTGTTCCACACAGAATCCTCGAGACAAGGCATATCTCCGTGTTGTCCCTGCATTACCACCACTGCTCAATGGAGGTGTGATCCACATCTGTTCCCTTTGGAAATACGGCGTAGTGATGCTGCCCTCCATAACCTCGTTTTTTGGGTTCACGATCAGTACCTCCGATGTCTCTGCTGGTGATTTAATCCCCGCCCTGAGTCGGGCAGCTGTGTAGTCATCTCGCGCGGTGGTTTTGTGAGTTGTAAAGCCGGAAGGAGTGGTGGATTGTGTATCAACGTAGACCTTCCACACAGGCACGGTTGGGTCTGTGTGCAGAGTGGGAATGAGTAAACCCATTGGATCGATTGCCGCTGTTGGTTTTACCTCCACTGTGCAGTCGCCGTTGTTGTCCACTACGATTCGAAGCCTCCACGGCTTGCTTCGGTTTGGTATCGACGCGTCGAGAAATTGCTCAAAGCTTTCGAGATCCTGCTGAAGCCAGTCTAATGCCTTTTTCATCTGGAAATGACGCGCTGCTGCTATCAGGCGGTCTAAGTGGTAGGCGATGAGGTAATAGGGCGAGTGATGAGGTGTGGGATAGCATTGTGCAAAGCGACAGGCTACGTCTGGTAGGTCTGTATCAAAGCGAACGGAGGAGAAGATCTCGAAGGGTTGTGTCTTGCTTGAAGAGCTGGCCATGTTTGCGACTGTTGCTGGTTTAGCTTGACACGGTTATTTCCCACTAGGCATGGCTCAAGACGCAGAGAAAAAGAACGGTTCAGTAGAAAAGCACCCAGGAGAACAATGACGCCAACCCGTTCGCTCCGGTTGTGGAGAGAACGTTGCGGGTTGTGCGTGATTGGCCGGTGCGGGCTGATGGAACTCTCGACTTTTCGTCGAGCTTCATCACTCCTGTCTCTATCCTCCTTCAGGTCCGGTTAGTTCTCCCCTACCTTTCATCTCGGGCAATTCGCCAATCAATCATTGAATACTGATCCGATCTGTCCTCAGAAAGAACTAGCAGCGTCGGTCGCTTTGCCCGGTTCCATAACACATCATGTCGAGCGAGTCGCCATTACCCACGCCCGCCCAGAATGTGGTGCTTGATACATCGAAGCTCACCGAGTCTTCATCAGCATCGGTCTGGGATCGCATCACCAACTGGGTCTCCGAGAACAAGGCCGTTGTTTATACCATTGCCGGTGTTGCCGTTGTCGTGACCGGCGCGGGTGTCGTCTACTACCTGAACGACTCCAGCAAGTCCACTCCTTCCGTCCCCAAGAAGAGCAAGAACCAGCGTCGCAAAGAGAAGAAGAAGGCAGAGGATGAGAAGAAGGCCAAGTCTGCCTCGGATGGTAGGTTCAGCTTCGCTTGAAACAGTGGTCGCATGGGGGACTGACGCAATTCTAGAGTCCGCCAAGAAGACCGAGGAGCCTGCCGAGGAGCTTCCCGAGGTTGACGAGACTACCGTTGGCCAGCTGTCCGAAGAGGTGAGTTTTGTAAATTGCTTCAATTGGTGGATTGTCACTGACACAGTGTTTCAAGACCCGCAACGCCTATGCCGGCAAGCTGAAGGCCGCCGGTAACAAGGCTTACGGTGCTAAGGACTACCCCAACGCCATTGAACTTTACAGCAAGGCTATTCTCTGCAAGCCCGATCCCGTCTTCTACTCCAACCGTGCCGCCTGCTACAATGTCCAGTCGAACTGGGACAAGGTCGTCGAGGACACCAGTGCTGCCCTCGCCATGGATAGCGAATACGTCAAGGCCCTTAACCGGCGAGCCATTGCCTACGAGCACCTCGGCAAGTTCAGCGAAGCTCTCCTCGACTTCACTGCCAGCTGCATCATCGATGCTTTCTCCAACGATGTCAGCCGCAACTCCCTCGAGCGCCTGCTGAAGAAGGTTGCCGAGAAGAAGAGCCAGGCTATCCTCGAGGCCCGCACCAAGAAGCTGCCCAGTGCCACCTTCGTTTCCAACTACCTCCAGAGCTTCCGTCCCCAGGTTCTGCCCGAGGGTCTCGAAGAGTCTGTGGAGTTGAGCGAGGAGTCTGGTAAGGGTCAGCTGCGCAAGGGTCTCATCGCCATGGCCAAGAAGACTGCCGATGGTTACGAGGAGGCCGCCGCTGCATTTGAGAAGGCCCTTGAGGTCGGTGACCTCGGCGACTTCGAAGGCTTGGCCCTCAACATGCGTGCCACTTTCACCTACCTCGGCGGTAACGCCCCCGGTGCCCTCGTTGACCTGAACAAGAGTGTTGAGCTGTCACCGTCCCTGGTTCAGAGCTACATCAAGCGCGCCAGCTTGCACCTCGAGCTCGGTAAGTCTGCCCAACAGTAATTCTCGAATTTTTTTATTAACACCTTTCTAGGGAACAAGGATGCCGCCGCCGATGACTTCGAGCTTGCCATCACCCACAACAAGGACGACCCCGATATCTACTACCACCGTGCCCAGCTGCACTTCATCCTGACCGAGCTTGCCGAGGCCGCCAAGGACTACCAAAAGTCGATTGACCTCGACCGCTCGTTCATCTACTCTCACATCCAGCTCGGTGTGACACAATACAAGATGGGCTCTGTTGCTTCAGCGATGGCCACTTTCCGACGGACAGTTAAGAACTTCGAGGAGGTCCCCGATGTATACAACTACTACGGTGAGCTTTTGCTCGACCAGCAGAACTACTCCGAGGCCATCGAAAAGTTCGACAAGGCCGTCGAGATGGAGAAGCAGAGCAAACCCATGGGTATCAACGTCTTGCCCCTGATTAACAAGGCTCTTGCCCTGTTCCAGTGGAAGCAGGACTTCCAGGAGGCTGAGAACCTCTGCCAGAAGGCCCTGATCAGTAAGTTTCCAACTCGCCGTGATGTATACCTATATGCTAACCCCTGACCAGTCGATCCCGAGTGCGACATTGCCGTTGGAACCATGGCTCAGCTCCTCCTCCAGCAGGGCAAGGTCTCCCAGGCTCTCAAGTACTTCGAGCGCGCTGCTGAGCTGGCTCGCACCGAGGCCGAGATCATCAAC